TTCCTAGCTGCTCTCTTAGCTTTCCTAATTTATTTATTATAATCGATAATCGATTAGGGCTGCACTATAAATATCGCATTCTTTGTTTTTTTTTTAGCCCTATTGAATAGTTTCCTGGTCTTTTCCCTAAGCTGCTTTAGCTTAGTGTTCCACCAAGGAACTTTTCGTGTTAAGGTCTTGGTTTTGACTAGACAACTGTCTTCGAAAGCTTCACAGATACCTACGGTTACCGTCTCCGCCATTAACTCCAAACCTTCAAACGTTTTTATGCTTTTAGGAAAAGTTTCCTAATTCCTCCTTAGGCTATCTCTATAGACATCCCAGGAGGTCGCTTTTGGATCCCTACAAGCAACAGTTTCATAAGTTGGTGATGCTCTAATCACAAACTTAATGTGTCTGTGATCAGACATCGAGTTTTTACTACTAACATGCCAGTCAGTAATCCGCCTGAATATGTTATTGGTAGCAAAGGTTTTTTCTAAAACTTCCTGCCTAGGACGCGTTACAAAGGTTGATGTACACCCTAAGTTTAGGCTTACCAGGCGATTGGATATGAGAAAGTCAAAAAGTAAGTCACCTCTTTCGTTGATGCTAATGCTTCCCCATGCTGTGTGGTGACCACTAGCATCACATCCCACCATAAGTTCGGCGTTGTGCTTACGGGCGAACACTCGCTCTAACTCGATGGCAGGATCTGGGTTCTCTCCGGGAAGATAGGCTGAGCAAATTATTACTCCTGTATCCCTTAAGATTTATAAAGGCTGTAACCAGGTCATCATTGCAATGCTCTGAAATAATTAAAAGTTTAATATGTTTATTGTAGATTATACAAGCTCTGGGTCTACTGCCTTTAGTATTGACTAAGATCTTACCGGCAGCCGACAATCCCAGAACTTGACCGTTAGACACCCAAGGCTCTTGTATGAGGGCGAGATCGATGTTGTCCTCTGCAAAGCAAACCTCCACCACGACAGAAGCAGCTAGTTGGTTTACCGCTTCCACCTCCCTTCCCCTTACCCCTGGCTGACACCAGCGGAGGCCCTCGGACCGAGGCGAGATCAGCGCCTTGGGTCTTAGTCACTCTCGCATATGACGTTCCAATCTCACCCCTCGAGGTGGAGGGCTGGGGGATTGAAGTTGGAGCGGTTCAGGCTCCATTGCCGCATCAGAGCCTTCCCTGACCTTTAAAGTTATCATTTTAACGCCCAGGACGACTCTGCTGCCTGCCGCTCGGAGAGCCTCCGCCAATAGGTCGTCCATAGAAAAGGTTACTAAGAACCCATTTTCCTCGTGCCTACGGTGAAGGATTTTCCAGAGCTTGATATGAAGCCCTTCATTTTGTGCCCTCAACAGTACAGCCGCCTCCTCTGGAGAGTCAGCTTTCTAGCGGGGTAGAAAGGTAATGCCCAGTTGAGCCTTAGGCAATTCGCTCTTGGGTATTATGGAGAGCTCTGCCTCCGGCCAGGCTTTCAGTTTTCCGATCCAGTCCTGCCTTTCCTTATTCAGGTACGTTACCAGAATCCAACCAACCGAAAATTTTGGTCCGATTCCCGGCTGCGCTCCACAGGCCGTCTTAGCAATAGCCTGCGTTAGTGCCCGGTGGACCAGCCGCATCTGCTCCACGCTCATAAGATTCGAATTGCAAATTCCTACACGCGCGCCAGCTACGGCACTGAAGCTAAGCTTTTTCTCCCCCTTTTCCAGCTTTACAGATTTCCTGGGATGGTCGTTGGGGAACTCCTCCTCACTACGACTGCGTGTTTTCGCCTTCGAAACTGGTGGAGGTGTGTGCAGAGGAATTTCGTCCCAGGGCTTCTGGCCTCTTCCGTGCTGCCCCACTAAGCTATAAGTGTATAAGTAAAATAAGGCCTAGTGAACTTTTTCTTTTCCCCTCCCTGGTTCGTTTCCGACTGTGGTTCGGTTGCAGACGTGCTCTCCACACCCAGGTTGGGGCATAGCGTTGCAGGGTGTTGGTGAGGCTAAAAGAGCCTCTTCCAGACCATTAAAGAAGAGTTAATTTTTTCAAAATGTTGATTTTCGTCCATTTTGGTCCCACGAGTAGCTAGGGAAAAATTCGGTCACACCCGGGAGAGCCCCGCATGCCGGGGGAAGGGTTAAAATACTACCCGAATCGCCCTGGTCTCGGATAGGCACCGTTTGCAACTGGACTCCCCCTAGCGTCCATCGGCACGGTATGCTTAACACCTTGGATTGGGTTAAGATAGGAAAAAATGGGGTAGAATAAAAGGAAAAGAAAATGAGGGTCGTCTGAGTGTTTCTGTTCTGTCTGTTTCCTATTGAACAAGACCAAATAACAGGCGGCAACCACGTGAAGGAAGAACTTCTCAGACTTGTTCTACCTTGGTGAAACTTCATCTTCTATTTTGTGATTTGGATATACACGTGTATATACCACATACTTTTACATTACATATAGGTATGTATACTACATACTTCGGTTGCTGCATCCACCAAACCACTAATATTTCTTTCTTAACTTCCATACACAATTCATGTAAACCACTAATATTTTCTCTCAGTTTACATAATATATACTTCTCTTTCACACTTTCATCTTGTAACCTTTCTGTTCTTATACGGTGTAACGAAGTTGCTAACACAGATGTTCGATGCTGCCAACGTCTGAATAGATCATTTATTCGGCATAAGACAAACCAATGATCCGTTCCTAAGTTGGAACTCTGGTAAACCCTTGTATCTACCACTGCGCTCCTCATTTTTCCGCCCACAATCATGAAATATTTCATGCTTCTATCTTTTGCTCTTTCGCCTGTTTACATAAGAATTTTCTCATGATGAAAGAAAATGTTCGTCATAAGATTTTTTTCCAAACATACTGTGAAAAGGCTTTCACCATTCTCATTTATACATTCATCACCAAACGTTTCAAACCTCCTCTTTGCCTCTTTACCAAACCCTTCCATTGATATATTCTAACATAATAATGAAAATATCATTTACCTTACATTGAATTAAAACCATCTTTACCATCTGTCAAAACTGCTCCCGGATATAAGAGGGCTTAGACATTTCTGATACTCCTCATGTACAAATACATTTCTTTAAGCCAATTTTAATTCGTATTAAAGTGGGCTTAAAGAAGCAGCCTCGGGCTAACATATTCATATACTCTTTCACACATTTTTACCCATTATTTCTGAAAGGATAATACCAACTACCTAACATTGCTTACTCGGTCTCGTCTGTACCAGACCAGAAAGCGGTATACATGCCACGTGTAGTGGCATTCTTTCCCTTTACTTTTTTTTCATTTGGAGCAGGTGAGTAATGCTATCTGCTCCTTTATCGTACATCATTTTGCATGAACCATCCATTTTATTATTCATTTTTCCACATACAATCTGCCTAGCATAACGGGCTTCCTTAAACCACTTCTCGCCCCTTCGGGAGACAGAACGTGACGGGCGACGTGCCTCGTTGCCAGTTTTAGTTCGGGCAATTCTACACACCCTTCCCCATTTTTGGACATGACGATAGGCAAACCTATATCTGGTTGTTTATCTGTCGATGGTTGACGCGTCCCAATAATAACGGAGATGTTGAGCAACCGGGAATCCGACCTGCAGGCCCAATGACAGTCGCTCTCGGCTTCAGTACGATAGTGATCCACCAAAAATTAGCCGGTCTTCGAGTTATTTTGTAATATTTTACTCGTAATGGGTATAATGGGAGTGATTGACTTTTAGGACGATGTTCCAGGAACACGAGCAGATGAAGCTTGTGTTAATTATGATATGTAATAATAATAACGATATATTTTTTTAGTTTTTTTCTCTTTAGGTGATGGCTTATATATTTTGTATATGGCACAAGGACAAACATCGAGATCCAAAAAAATATTGGTAGGTTCATAAACACTTATTTTGTTCCGTGCCGGGTTAAAATCCGTGGACCCGCAGCGCCACAACTGCTACGTAGACGTCCAAATTTTGTATTAATGGATTGTTGTTTGTTTATAGATTTAGTTTAATTAATATCCGTTCTTAAAATTCACAATAAACGATTAATTGACAGAAATATTAATTGACAACCGCATAACGGTAAGCTTCGGAATTTCACCTCTACGTCAGCTATAATTATTGAAACTGCCGTTTTACGCATTAGGGATCGTGTTAGTTGCTGTAACTAACTTCGTAAGTAGCAAGTGTGCAACGGACAGCAGCGTCAAATGTGCGAGATCTTTGACGCTGCGATCTTCAGTCATCCTGCCAGCTGTCACAATTTAGGCAAATCCTCTTTACTACGGAAGAAAGGCCCAAGACTTGCAGTGGCCTTTAACTTTAAGGATTTGTAAAATAAACCGTGAATGTATTAAATACAATTTTAAAATATAGTGTATTAGTTTATTTATATCAGACATCACTTGATACTTTCTCTCCTTCTCCGTAATTTCCAATTCCATTTTCCTTTTTTAATACATAATTTATTCCTCTCGTCTCATGTAGATTTAGTTTAATAATATTCCGTGATTTTGTGACTTCTGTCTCCCATTGATACTTTACTAACTTTATCTAGAAAAGGTTGGCATTTTTTTCTAGAAAATAATAATAATTGTTTCCCATATAATATCCATACACTATGAATAGGTATATAAAATAAATCTCTTTATAAAGACTCTAGTACTTGTGTCAGGATCAACGGGGTCTACGCTGACTGGCTTGGCAGCTTGGTGTAAAACAAGGTTGTTTAACTTGAACAGTCTAACATTGACATCATTCAATCTGTCGTTGATAATAACATGCTCGCCATATTAGTGCATATTAGTGCCATATCGCAAAGCACCCGAAACGTCGGGAATTAAAAATAAGTACAATTAAAGGCGATAAAATCCGTAAAAGTAGTTTTATTCAATATGTAGTGTTCGCGTAAATATAACAAATCATTAAGTACTCACATTTAGAAAATTTTAAACCTTTAATATTGTATAATTAAATATATTTTTTTTGCCTTGTCCCCAGACGATGTGCCCAATCTGTTTGGATCGGCTGAAGAACATGATCTTCCTGTGCGGGCACGGCATGTGCCAGATGTGTGGCGACCGAATTACGGTGTGTCCAATATGTCGCAAGCAGGTCGAGAAACGTATTCTGCTTTACTGAATTCAAGCAGTTTTATAACTTGCGTTTACAACGTACAAGCAAAGAAGATAGAGAGTAGTTCTATCATTGCCGCAATAGATCTTAATAGAATTACGATTTTTCTTAATTTTTACTACAATTGAAATGTAAACGTAGTAATTTTTTATCTATTTAAATATTAATTCATCTTTTAATTGTATAAGCGCATTTTACGCTCTCCGTAGCTGTAGGATTAATTAGTTTTATAGCATCAGCAACCGAAGGCTTCCAGTGTCGATCACGTAGGTCAGGCTTCAGGGCTAAGACATTTTAGAACGATATTGAGCATTATTAAACTTCATTTCAATTAAAAATTAAGAAAAGAAATTATATTATATATAGTGTCATGTTTTTGTAGTTTTTTCTTTGTTTTTACAATTCTGTCAATTGCAAATTTAATGTTAATTGTTGCCCAATGCATTTCGTTAATATTTTTTGTATAAGCTCTACTTAAATTAATTAAATATGAGAAAACAATTATCCTATTTCTTTAAGGAATGTAATGTAACGTTTTATCTTACTTTCAAAGTGGATGTTTATTATTCGTCGATATTTTTGTGTCCAGATTATTTCAGAATTAGTTCAGCTCAGCAATAAGCTTTTCGGCAGTTTCATAACGTGTTTTTTTTATTCATAAGCCAGCGCTCAACTACAATCCCATTAGATGGTAAGTGGTTATGAAGCCACAGGTGTTAAATCACACTGAGTTAGCGTAATAAAGTTTAATAATAAATTAAAATACTAGTAATAGTAGTAATTAGTAAATTATAAAAAAGTAGTAATTAAAATAATTGGACAATAAATTCAAATTGAAAATTTAATAACTTAAATTTGAAAGAGCAATGGCAGACTTTCATACATAAAATTAGTTGAGAAGAAATGGTAGCGTCTATATACCAAAAATATCTTAAAATGTTAAGCGTCAGTCCCTTAATAAATCTGTCAAAGAATTTCGTACTGAGAAGGCGTCAAAAAAAAGATATTTACATTTGAACCTTTTTAGATTATGTCCTATGTCACTTGGAAAAAGCCATGCTTCCTGTGGTTGTTTGATGTTAGCTTAATACATAATACATAATTGAGAGTTTTTAGATTATTGTATCTCCATTATATATTTGCATACTAAAAATGTATATTTCTGGCATAGCTCCAGGGCTTTTGTGTCATAGTGACATTCTCAGAAGGGCTAGAACCCAGAGCCGTAAAGCCAGTAAAAATAACAGTGACATTTTATTTTAACTAGTGTTGGCATAACATTAAATGGAATTGTTACATAGTATTATGATTAAGATAATGCATTATTGTAGGAAATTCTTTGTAAGAGACTTATTCTCAGCCATATCACTTTTATTTTTATTATTACTGATAGTAAAGTTATTACTAATAATAACTTAATATAAAAATATTTTGTGTGTTGTGTTGGTAGTCTTACAAAGTATATACGAAAATAGTATGAATATACTAAATGGCAACATTTGAATAGAGTAAAATGATTTAAGTCATTTGATATTCCCAAAAATGTTTGTTTTTTTCTGTGGCTTTAATCAAAATACATTTTTATTTGAAAAATCATACAAATTTAGTAAAACTCATTTTATATATAACTTATTTCTAGACGCTATAATTTTTGTCAACTATTTTTCTGCCATTGCTCTTTAAACACCTCCCCCCCCCCCCCCCCCCGAAACAAAATGAGCTGCTGATCGTCAAACGGCTGAACCGATTTTGATAAAACATGTCTAAGAATCACTGCTAGAAAACCTGCATTTAAAAAAACCGCACCCAATTTGATTCACCCGTTTAAGAGCTACTGTGCTATAGACAGACACACAGACACACAGGCAAACACCTCTCTTTTTGCGTCGGGGGCTAAAAATACAGATGCCGGCGGACCGACAGACGACGTGCGAATGTCGCGAATGTCTACAACAAAAGGCTCGCCCACCGCCTTCTTGCCCGCTGGTGGAAAAGGGAGGGAGTATCAGCTTCTATTAAGAGTAATAGCTGTAATTCCTGCGCACTCTCCAAAATTAATCCTGTAAAAGACCGAGAGGCTGGCTACTCTGCGCCCTCGCTCGAGACTGACAAGGTTGATTTTAACCAAATTAAGGTCACCAAATATGTTGTTAGCCGGGCTCTTTATTGAGTCCGACGCTGCTAAGTGGCATTTTGTCTTTTCTTTATATAGGGTCAGAAGCTGTCCTGGCGTGATGCACTCTTGCAAAGACACCTTGTTTCCTCGCGGCTGCTTTGTCCCTGTACTCAATTTACCGTCGACCGCCAAAGATTGAGTTCCGGTGTATGATTCAACCCCTTACAAATGCAGGCGGTCGGTGTACCGCAAAGATACACCCCGGAAAGTAGGAGTCAGAGTGGGCGATCTCCTTTTTGCAGGGAACAGTCACGCTTGTGTTTTGCGTTGGCACCGACTCCTACGTAGACCGCCTTCAGTAAGAGATTCTCACGCTCAACCATCTTTTAGGCTAGATTTGATTCCAATTGGCTAGAGCATTTTCCACAACTGTGCCACCGTCTGCATACCGGGCATAAACAGATAATTAATATGCAGCAGAAACTCCGTCTTTAGTAGTCATGGGATTAACAGCAGAGATAGACGAGGAGCCCTCGGGGAAATCGTTTACTCAAAAAATCCTTAATGATACCCAGTTAATGACCTGGGGGATAAGCCGTACTAGAAGCTTGCCTAAAAGGCTAGCGTGCATAATACTTGAAAAATCAAGGGAAACAGCAAATGCTTCTTAATTCTTTTCGAGAACCTCGTCAAATATGAGAGTTACATACGCTAGAAGATTTCCCGGTCCGGCCCGGTCGAACAATTTCGCGTTTTCATTGTGGACATGCACACAGACTCTGGCACTGTGGTGGAAGTTATGGTCTAATGTCTACCCACGATAGTTAAGGTACGCCACATCAAGAGTGCTTCTGATCTGTGACTCCATAAAGAAGACTAAGTGCGACTTGTCAGTCTCGAGGTAGTAGTGGACTGTGTTGAGATTACATTGCGAATCTCGGATGTTTGTGCGGTGCATTTAAAGCGTTATCCTAGGTTAGTGATAACATGGGTAAGTGCCTACGCATACCCGCCTCGCGGGGCAGGGATGGATTATGTCGAACTAAAACCCCATAGTGTTCCACTTTCGCCGCATATTGGCAGGGCCACGGGAATGCTTTCGCACACATCCGCGGCTCCACCAGTGCCGGCCGTCTCAATGCACCACTCGGGAGAGGATTACTCCCTCCCTATCTCCGTTTCAGTAAGGCGCACCAGGACACATGGTGCGCCTTCCTCCGCGGCCACCAACTTCACTTGCGCAATGGACGCCCCCGTGTCCGATGCGCCAAGCCCTGGAAAACGAGCACTCAGAAGCACTAGCCTTCCTGACCACAGCGGCGGATCTGGTATATGGCTCCGCCGACAACCAAGATTAGACAATAGTAGTTTAATCGCATGGCATGTATCGCCTCGTTGTATTGCGTCGCGATATTAGATACTCAGTGCTGGGATATGACGCTTTCTGTCGCGTACCCAGGACGACATACCAAGTTCGGACAGAGTAATAATATTTTAAGTGCATTTATTTTCAGTACACAGAAATAAAATCGATTTTATTTGTTAACTTACCATATCGAATGTTTTGGAAACCATTCTTAAGTTTTGTATGAAGAGATTGTATGTACTATGAATATAAGTAATTAATATAATGTAAGAATATTCGATGCTGCGACTAAAAGATGTATATAAAAGTGTGTGTAAGCACTGAGGCATCTTTCAGGAAATTGGAAAGATAAATTTTGCACATACAAACAAAAAAAACGATATACTTTTTATCTAGGTTATGTCTTTGGTTTATGACTAACGATGATAGTGGACACAAGGTGACGGATCGAAAGTTTCAATCAGTAACAAAAAATACTCTAATATTTTTGTCAAGATATTCGTTAGTTATCAATTACATACATAATATGTATGCATAGAAGGAATCTATAATCTTTATATATAAAAATTACGTGTCACATTGTTTGTCCGCGATGGACTCCTAAACTACTGAACTGATTTCAATGAAATTTTGCACACTGTGTGCAGTTTGGTCATAGGATAGTTTTTATAGTGACTAAGACTAAGAAGTGACTCTCAATTTTTTATTGCTAATCTCAGGAGTTTTTTTAATAAAAGCAAATGGTCGTCGGAAAGGGCAGACCGACGTCTGCTTGGTCAGCTAGTTCTACATAAAGAGAGAGTAAATTTTCAAATAAGACAAAAACAGACAAACCTATTAAAAGATGTTGCGTGTAACTCATGCGTACATTTCGAAATAACAAGTGGTCACCTTTGGTCTCTTTATGCTATGGAAATTTTAGAGTAAGAATACTCGTGTCTTCTGATTTACTAGAAAAATGTCATTCTAATGTAGTCGTATTGTGTGACGTAATTTCACAAGTCATGATATTTTTAATCCACAATGATTTCATTCTCAATTTTATCAAATATTTTCATGGATATACTAATTTTTTTTCTTCATTATAATATTATGTCTATCTTTTTATTCTTTATTATATTATGAATAGAATTATTATTATTCAAATTAATTGTTTTCGAAATCAAGTAATGGTTATTAAATTACATTATAAATATTAGTGTCAAACTTTAAAAACTAATAGTGAATACTCAATCTTGGCGGTCACACATTACGCGCGTTAGATCCCCAATTTTATATGTTGATTTAGCACTTGATCAGCGGAAAATAGCACCATTCAGAACCTATATCTGCTTGGATAAAGATATTTCGAAATCATGATGTAAAGGCAGGATCTTGGTAATGCCATGTAGCCGCGGCGTTAGAGAATCCACTACTTCAGAATAAGAAGCTCTAAACCCCTATATATCATCCTGTGAGTATCGTAAAAGACGACAGAGGGAAATTAAAAAGAAGATAGATAGCAATATCTTCCGTATAATAACTCAACATTATTTAAAAAAAACTGCTGTGCTAAAAGAGGAAACCATGGAAAATATTCCGTCTATGAGGCAATCTATGGCAAAGTTCAACTATGGACTTTTGATAGAACGTTATTAGTGAATCAATCAATGATGAATATTATCTTGAAGGAACAGAGAGGAAAACGGGTAACACGTTTGTAATCGATTTATTGGTAGTTGTGGTAGAGCGAAGAAGAGGAGACAGATCGCGGTCGCGCCGCTGTATTTATACTATCGTAGCAGTGTACGTCAATTAGAAATGATTATAAATTAATAAAGTATTTGGTTACATGTTTACAGTTAATATTTCGTGTGATAATAGGTCGAGGGATAGTTTGGCAAACATTTACCGACTGAATTTAAGTAGATTTCATAATGACCTTTTTAACGCTACATTTTAACTTACCACAATAGTGTGAAATACCGCATTATTCGATTAGGTTTTTTAATATAAATAAGTATTTAACGAACCGAAATAATCAAAATCGTTAATGTTACTAAGTCTTAGACTCAGTGAACTTATCGATGTTTCTTGTTTCGCTAATGTAACATCAATTGTGGTGTTCATGGAATGGAAAAAAGCAGCAACCTTGTAAAGGAAAAAAGGTGAGGGTAATAAAGCTATCTTATTTTGTACTACGTAAAATGTCATATGCATAAAGAGCTCAACTACAAGAGCTTTATTATATTTTTAGGATTCCCACTATGCTAGTAATTATTCTAAACGATAATCTCTCCTCCGCCCCTCCACGTCACTCATAACGACACAAGGCACCAAATTACACCTCGTCAAGCCCTCTTTTTCTTTCTCAGAATATGTTGCCATGAATTACAAAATGCAAGAAATTGATTCGAAGTAGGAAATTATTTTGTATTCTTTAATAAAATGTAATATATAAAAATTTATGTTTGTTTGTTCGTATTTTATGCGCTGCCATACCGTTCATTAGATTGCGCTACAACTTGGTCAACTTATTGCTTGCATTTGCGCAAAGGTTATAGGCATAGTACAATTAACTTACAGTAGGTGGCGCGCGTATCGTACCGACAAAATTTATTTGAAAATTAAATCATGTTTAATTATAAATGTATAATTATATACATTCATAACTAAACAATATAACTATTTGAAATTTAAAACGATATTTCCACAATTATTTCTTCTGCGGTAGCAACGCGCTTAGTACCAGCTAGTCTAAATATAAAAGTTCCATGACTTTTTACAATACCTAAATGAAGCGATGACAAATGCTTTGAAGGCCGAATAGTTTTCGGTACTCATGCGCCGTCACTAAACTTGCGGTAATACCAAAACATAAATTATTTTCATGTTAATATAGTAGTCGTGTAGCATCCTACGGGTATCGTAAAAGGCGAGAGGGAAATGAATCAGGAGGTGGGCAGCAGCAGCGCCTCTTGATAATAATTCAAAAATGCCAACCCGCCTACCAAGCGTAGCAACTATTGCAAATATAGGTGATATTTTGATTGTTGGAGCGGACTTATAATAATGACTCAATTAAAGAGTTATGGTAATCTTTAAAATTTATTATTCTATTTTATTATTTATTGTTTTTAGTCGAAAATTCAAATATATTATGTTGTCGCAACACAGTCAACAAATAGTCGTCGATATAAACAAATACTAAAAATTATATACCTAATAATTATAATTTTGTAATAAAAATGAATTTGAACTGTTTAATATAACCAAATGATTAACAGAATGTTAAAATAGAATGTACGAGAATGTATGTAAGCTACTTCATTTATATTGTCTTTTGTCGTATACAACTATATACTATAGGTACTACTCATTAATGTTATTGTTTTAATTGCTTCATATAATTTAAATAAAAGTACTTTTACCGACTTACATATTGTTTTATTAAACTTGTTTAACGAACTGATATTTGAAAATAAAATAACATTAAACAAAAATTATGTTAGTAAAGTCAAATAAATTAAATTAATTAGATATAAGGGAACTGTGATTGTGTGCAATGATTTCCTTAACTTGTTCTTCACTATTAACATTATCACGATACTCGATGGTTCGGAAAGTATCGTTGAAGTCAGGAATCCGTTCGCGGAGAAGGTCTCTAGTTAAATCATTTACTCTAAATGACAAATGAGTGTCCCTGGCAATGTCGCTTTCGTCGCAGCGTCGGCAATCATTGAAATACAGTGCTGACAATTTATTCAGCTCCGGAGAAGTAGCGCAATAAATTATTGTGCTGGCCGCTTGTCGCTAAATTAAAAAAATAATAATATATTATTATGCCCTAAAAGTGGTGATTATGTATACCAAACTAACAAAAAAGTCTTACAATGGTTTTAGAAAACGGCAACATTGATGTGTAGAGAGCTTCATAAACCCACCAATTGCGACACAATCCTGTTTTGATAAAAGAACCGGGATTCGCGCAAAAAACTGTTTTACCAGAATTCAGCCAGCGATAACCCAAGTAGTGCATTGCCAGTAGACAACACACTTTAGATACATTGTACGCTTTTATAGACGTATATTCATGTTTTGGAATCGAGAGCTGTTCAAGAGTTGGCGATAATATTTTGTTCATGTTCCAGTTTATATTCCTAAAAAAGAAAATATATTTAAAAGTAATGTCAATTGTTACATGTGTACATATTGTTACTTTTGGATATATTGGATATATCCAAAAGTATATTGATATATTTTCTATCCATAGAGAAACAATGTAGTACCTATTTGAATTAATTAATTGTTAATAAATAAATAGATAGAAAAAACGCAATGTAACCCATTTTTAGGATATTATAAATCAGGGTGATAACGATTATATTGAATCATCATCAGCCGGCAGTCCACTGCTGAACATAGGCCTATTCCAAGACACGCTACTTACACACCTACACGCATCCAGTTGCTGCCAGCCGCCTTGCGCAGATCGTCGCTTCATCTAGCCAGGGGACGTTCCGCACTACATTTTCCTAAACGCGGTCTCCACTCTATGATCTACCTACTGCAACGGTTATCGCTTCTGCGACAAATGTGACCATCTCATGCCACTTCAGGCTGCAAATACGGAAGGCTACGTCGGTGACTATAGTTCTCCGGCGGATTTCTTCGTTGCGAATCTTATCCACCAGAGAAACTCCGAGCATAGCTCTTTCCATCGCCCGCTGGGCGACTGAGTTTGTAGAGTAGTCGTATTCCGTTAGTGTCCACGTTTCGGCACCATATGTGAGTACAGGCATGACGCAATGTTCAAAGACTTTCGCCTTCAAGCTTTGCGGTATAGGCGACGAGAAGACTTGACGAAGCTCCACCTATCGTCTTCTTTCTCGAAGTAGTTTCTATCTAACTACACTATCTGGCCGAGGTAGATATACTCTTGAACAACTTCAAGAATCTCCCCATTAACATTAATCGAATCTGGTATGACGTGACCGTTAAACATGACTGTCGTCTTATTTAAATTAATACGCAGTCCGAAACGATGGGAGGATTCATTTAGGCTGTTAAGCATGTTTTATAGTTCCTGCAGCGATTCTGCCATGACGACGATATCATCGGCAAAGCGGAAGTATGAGATGTGTTCGCCATTTATATTGATGCCGTGTCCCATCCAGCTTAGCATCTTAAAAACAACTTCCAGTTCATTTGTGAATAGTTTGGGGATATTGAGTCCCCCTGTCCTTACTCCACGATGCAACTGGATAGGTTTTGTAAAACCATCCTGTATTTGAACGGACATCGAGCTAGTGGTGTCTAAATGTCTCAAGACATCTATATATCGCCAGTCAATCCAGCAACGCTGCAAGGAATTCATAACAGGCCAAGTTTCGATGGAGTCAAACGCTTGCTCGTAGTCCACAAAGGCCATACAAAGGGGTAGATTATACTCATTCGTCTTCTTTATAAGCTGTCTCACTGTATGAATGTGGTCTATGGTGCCATAGCCTCCTCGAAACCCAGCCTGCTCGGGTGGTTGAAAATCGTCAAGTCACAGCGCGAGTCGATACGTCATGACTCCCAAAATCAACTTATAGACGTGGCTCAGAAGGGAGATGGACCGATAATTCTTTAGCATTGTCTTGTCACCTTTCTTGTAGAACAAGACTGTGATGCTTCTGCTTCACGCCTTTGGAGTTCTATCATCTTGTAAAACGTAGTTAAAAATACGACAGAGCTCTTTTATCAATGGTTATCCCCCGCTTTTAAGAGCTCTGTTGTAACTCCATCCTCTCCTGGGGCTTTTCCATTTTAAGTTGCCCGAAGGCCAACTAGATTTCATCCCGACAGTTATCTGGCAGCTCGTCGGTAAAGTGGCGGATTAGTGTGGCTCTGGGATCGTCGCATTTCGGGTCAGGTTGCTGGTTTTGGGAGACATATAGTGTACCGTAATAGCCTTCGACCTCTGTGAGAATCTCAGGCTTTGACGACAGGGTTTTGCCATCGCACGTCTTTAGTTTCGTAATGTGGCTCCTCCCAAGCTTACGAGCAAAGACTTTGGGATCCTTGTTTCGCTCTATTGCCTGTTGAATAATATTCGCATTGGGGCGCCACAGGTCCCGCTGTACAGCTTTCCTTATCAGTCTGGAGAGTGCCAGCTGATCCGAAAGCTGCTGTTGGTGCCTCATGTCTCTTTTGCACAAGCTGAAGTGTCTCGTCTGAGAGTTTAGACTTGCGGCCTATATGTTGCCTACTACACAAACTATTCCCGTCATCCCTTAAGATCTTGACCACACTAGTGAGATCTTCGTCAATGTCCAACGTAACCCACATTAGGGCATCGAATCGATTCCGGAGTTCCAACTGGAAACGAACAAGTCGGTAATCGCTTCCTGTATTAAACCTATTGATCACTGAGACATCTGTCACAACATCTGTCATGATGAAGTCGATCATATTGAATGGAGGGGTGTAGGTATGTATTATAGAACCGTGAGTTATTGTAATTTCATGTAAGTACCTACAATTGTGGACACGTAAAACGGAACAAGTATGCTTTTTCAACATAATAATATTTATTTAAGTCGGATGATTGTATTGTTATCCGAATTCAAAAAGAACGACCACCCAGGCCACGGAAACGCTTTCGCACACATCCACTTACCGTCCGATTACATTCTGGGCGGCTCAGTCACTAAGCACTGGCCGTAAATTTCATAGTACGTGAGCAACACGGGTTCGATCCTCGCTGGCAATAATGACATTGTTAATTACTGACATTGTTATTTCAAATGCTGATTTATCATCGTGACGGTGGTGAAGGAAAACTTCGTGGGGGAAAACTACATGTCTGAGGAATCAAAATGTTCAGTAACAATTTACCCCGTAACAAATACAGAAACAGAAATTCAATTAATGAGTACTTTTTAAGTCATGTGTGTTTAAACCCGTTTTATAGTCTGTGTGATAAAACACGGTGAACGAAATAAATCAAAGTCAAATGGAATTATTTTAAAGACGGGTAATCGACAAGTTCTTATGAAATCTACTACTGACTAGATGGTAGGAATTTTATGCCTGGGAGCTCCTCTAGGTAGGTACCACCCTCTAATCTATTTCGGTCGCAAAGCAGCAGTGCGTGCACTATTTTCTAGTCTGAAATGAATTGAGAGCCAGTATAACAGGCCCTACAAAACAAGTATTCTATCTTAGAATAAGATAGGTCGAGAGTTAGTTCTCGACGCATCTTCTCGACCTTCTTTGAAGTTGCTTAGTGGATCACGTGGACTGTTGGAGGGGATTTTGTGTTTTATATCTATTTGTGTTCAGCAGTGAACTTTTATAGACTGTAATGGTATGTTACGGCACAAAATAAATAATAGCACTACGTAGTTACGGTGGGGAAAATATTCTCTTTCACTCCTACATGGCTCCTTAACAATTTTCGATAGAGCTCGAGATTATATAAAAAAAACCAAATCCAAGAATCAGTCGAGTAGGTATTGCCATGAGTCATGATGTAGGTTTTGAGGTATATTTAAGAATATCAGTATTTTCTCTAAGCTGATTTTGTCGAACAGTAGAGAGAAGAAAATCAATTACTAGTAGGAGTATTTTTTATATAGGATAAGTGTGAAAAAGGAGCATACAAACGAGCACCTGATGGTAAGTGGTTGCTGTGGCCCATAGATATCTACATCTATCCTCGATGATGCATCAAAATGCAGATGCGTTGTCACCCGTGGGGACTTAGATGGAATGCCTCGTTTCCAGTAAACAGGGTCTCCGGTTCTCTACACTCATCATACGAAACACAGCAGCGTTAAGCTGCTATTTTACGCAGGTATTCTATTCTGTGAGAGCGTGGTTCTTCCTCTGTCGAGCCGACTCATTCGTGCTACAACTGTACCAGTAATATAGCTGCAGGATGGCTCTATCATGTAAATTTGATAGATATCACCTCTCCCTTCAGAATCCGATTAAAAGAATTACACACCTGTGAGATTCTGAAGAGGTGAATACGACTCGTGCATCAGGTGCTAGAATTTTTTCAATACTCATCAGTAGATAGTATTGGCTCAGATAATTAACTTGAAAAGTGGTTTCCAAACAATCTTCCGTTAGTGTCCATGGTATTCCAAATACAGCAGCATTTAAAATAACTATATCTATTTTACTAAAAGGAACAAACCAAAAATTATATTATTTCATAAAATTGAATAAAATATTTCAAATTTCACAAAACATAGCTTGACGACTTTTTTTTACAATTCAATATTATTTAAAAGTAAAAGCTACATACTTATATGTATACAGGGTTATTTTTCAAAAAGTAGCCAAATTTTAAATCCCCCTCGTGCTCTGTTCCAAAGTCCTGAAACCTTTCAGGTCGAGTTACAAAACCGTTTTCAATGCCTAGAAGACTGCAATGAAGTGAACAATATGAATGATAAGTTCTGCAAGACCCGCCGCAGAAGAACACAAAAACTCTCATATCACACTCTTAATCTCATGGCTGTTAGACGGGAGATGAAGCTACACTCTTCAACAGATTTGACAGCATACAGGCAACTGAACAGACAGATCTCCAAATGCATGCGGCGGGACTTACGCAACTTCAATACAGCTTGTATTGAAGAAGCGATCGAGCAGAACCAAGGCTCCAAAGACCGAATGTGGCAGCATCGTTTCCGGGGCACCTGAGATTTTGAGTGAGATTGAGAGGTTCTATGGACAGCTGTACACGTCATCGTTGGAGCCACACGCAAGTGTGAGTAACGATACAAGAGCGAGTCTTATCCGACACTATTCCGAAAATATCCCGGACGTCAGTCTGAGCGAGATTAGAATGGCTCTCCAGCATCTTAAAAACGGCAAGGCCCCAGGCGAGGATAGAATTACAGCGGAGCTTCTGAAAGCGGGTGGAAAACCGGTACTGGAAGTCCTTCAGAGGCTCTTTAATTCCGTCCTCCATGGTGGCATTACACCGGAGGCGTGGAGCAGAAGTGCGGTGGTCTTGTTCTTCAAGAAAGGTGACAATGCTCTCTTGAAGAACTACAGATCGATTTCCCTTCTGAGCCGCGTCTACATGCTGTTTTCGAGAGTCATTACGAATCGTCTCGCACGCAGACTTGACGACTTCCAGCCTCCCGAACAAGCCGGTTTCCGAAAGGGCTTTATCACCATAGACCACATACATACCCTTCGACAAGTTGTACAGAAGTCCGAGGAGTACAATTTGCCACTATGCCTGGCGTATGTGGACTATGAGAAAGCCTTTGATTCCGTCGAAATTTGAGCGGTGCTGCAGTCCCTTCAGCGGTGCCAAGTTGACTGTCGGTATATCGAAGTGCTGAAGTGCTTGCACAGTAGGACTACGATGGCTATCCGAGTACAGAATTAGAGTACGAAACCTATCCAATTGCAGAGAGGTGTAAGACAGGGTGACGTTATATCCCCGAAACTCTTCACCGCTGCATTGGAAGACGTTTTCAAGCTTCTGGACTGGAAAGGATACGGTATTAACATCAATGGCGAGTACATCACTCACCTTCGATTTGCCGACGATATAGTCCTTATGGCAGAATCGCTGGAGGACCTAAGCACTATGCTCAATGACCTCAATAGTGTTTCCCAACGGATAGGTCTTAAGATGAACATGGACAAAACAAAGATCATGTTTAATGTCCATGTCACACCTATGCCGGTAGTTGTTGGGAGCACTAAGCTCGAAGTTGTTGACGAGTATGTTTACCTGGGACAAATAGTCCGACTGGGTAAGTCCAACTTCGACCGAGAGGTCAATCGACGGATTCAACTCGGCTGGGCAGCGTTCGGGAAGCTACGACACATCTTCTCGTCAGACATACCTCAAAACCTTAAAACGAAATTGTACAACCAGTGCGTGTTGCCAGTGATGACTTACGGATCTGAGACGTAGTCCTTCACTGCTGGCCGTATGAGGAAGCTCAAGGTCACTCAGCGAGCTATGGAGAGGGCTATGCTCGGAGTTTCTCTGCGTAATATACTTAGGAATGAGGATATCCGCAGTAGAACCAGAGTAACCGACATAGCCCAACGGATTAGTAAGCTGAAGTGGCAGTGGGCCGGCCATATAGCTCAAAGAACCGACAACCGATGGGGAAGAAAGGTTCTTGAGTGGCAGCCTCGTACCGGTAGGCAAAGTGTAGGGCGACCCCCCACGAGATGGAGTGACGACCTGGTAAGACATGCAGGAAGTCGATGGATGCAGGTGGCTCAGGACCGTGCTTTGTGGCATTCCTTGGGGGAGGCCTATGTTCAGCAGTGGACTTATGAACGGCTGTAATGAATGAATGAATGAATAATCATTTAAAATAATACATTACCACGAATTTTGAACTTATAAGATAAATAGGACAGAATGATTCAGATTTTTTTTAATTAATTTTTGTTGACTATTTGCCTTTTTTACTTATATCAACCTTCTCTGCAAATTAGGCCTGTTATTGTAAACTAACCCTGTATATACATATAAATAAAATTGTAATGTATATTGTAATATATTGAGCTGAGGTAGAGTTTATTTGCATGCCATTAAAACATGACTAACCATTTTTTAAATTTCTATATGTGTTTTCTGGCCATGGACGTATAAATATGGAACAAAATTTGACGACGCAAGACGGCATATATAGATTTCTGTTTTTACTTACGACAACTACTTCTCGAGGACGCCATTTGTTGCGTAATGGCGGACGCTAGACTTATTATTAGTGTGAATGTGTGCGTGACCCCTTGTACGTACAAGCGAGCTGACTTATTATGGGTGCCTCGCTGAGTTGTATAGCGAGATTCAGTCCGCCTTATTTATACGTCCATGTTTCTAGCTAATCTTCGGAATAGCTGAACCGATAGCAATGTACCTTCTCGAACAGATTAAGACCAATGGCAGCATTGATCTAGGCTACATTTTATCCGGAAAAACATGTTCTTTTTTGGAAAAAAGAAAAATTAATAAATAAATGGTTAGCCATCCCGAAGATTAGCCCGGACAGACAAACAAACATTTTACAAATGGTTATTCATGTTTAATAGCATTCCTCCTGTAAAATACCCCCAATACCTCCAGAGCTTAATAGAAACCAGTTACTTCCATATTACAGACAGTTAATTATATTTTATTTATATGTGTATAGGTATTGAAAAAAATTACTTATGCTGTTTCCGTATGTTTTCCGAACATTTTTTAACAGATGACAATGAATTAAGATTGATTTCGAAGACACTTATTTGATTGTTCCTTTCACATTTTATATTCTTCATGACGAGATTTGCAGCGTAAGTATTCCGGCACGCCATTAGAACATTGCAGCCGCGAGAACTTAAACACTTTGTAACCTCGAGGCCAATTCCACTGTTTGCGCCAGTAATTAGGCACGTTTTATTTTCCAAGTTCAGATCTTTAGATATCTGTAATATTATAAAACTGTATAAAAATCTAAATATGGTTTTAAAAATATAATTTACCACAAACATATATATTTTAAAGTCATATTTAGTGACTAATGTACTTTTAGGCCAAAACCATAATAAGAATAATAAATGTTAAGAAATATAAATATGGTAACCACCCGTTCTTCATGCCTATATCACATTACCTCATCCGCTGTTGGTCCATGAATTCTAACGAACTCTACATTTTTCTGTATAAATTTTAGGGAATTTTCTAGTATATTTCCTTTCCATGATAGTGTGCCAATTCCTTTTTTGTGAACACGGTTCACTGCAGCAAACTTTCTGCGACAAAAATTAGTCATTAATGCATTTTATATCTAAAAGTTTTACTGTTATTATTTTTATAATGATCAGGCCGATTTCGATCTTGCCTACAACCTCCCATTATGATTGATAAATGTATCAATTGTACAGAAGAAAGTATATTAATAAAAGAAATTTTTAGATGCTGTGCAACATGTGTTTTAACAGTGGTGGAGCCACGCGGCAGCTTTTGCTGTCGCACGGATGGGCCGGCTCGAACCGGGGTGGTACCACGACCTCACAGAATACCAGCGTGAAGTAGAGGTTTACCTCTGCGTTTCGCTTGGTGAGCGCAGGTGGCCGGAGGCCCTTTTTACTGAAAATGAGGCATTCCATCTTAGTCCTCACGGGTGACAACGCATCTGCATTTTGATTTGTAATAGATAATAGATGTAGATGTCTATGGGTCGCAGCAACCACTTACCATCTGATGGACTGTGTGCTCGTTTGTCACCCTTATCCTATAAAAAAAAATGTAATGGTGAACTATACGAAACTAATTAAGTACATGTTGCCCTTGTTTCGCCTTGGTAATATCTAATGTGGCTTTATTTAGATTTAAGATATTAAAGACTATTTTTATTTCATAAATTTTTCATTTATCGGATAAAATATAGGTAGCTTATATCGCTCCTAGAATTGTTCTCCTTGAAAACAAAATATCGTAGTTACTCGCTTGATTCAGTTCTTGATTCGTGTGATTACCATCTCTTTATTTAATTATTTGACAGATTAACAGATTAATTCAAGTTAGGTATGTTATTGAGTTTTACAAACTGCTTGGGCCTTTCGAAGGTAACTCGGTAGCGAGCACCAACGTATCGTCGATATTATTCACTCGCCATACGAAATAAACCAACATTAAGCTGCTAATTTACTAATTTTGCTAATTTACTAAATTTGTCTATTTTCACATCTCGTTCAAAATTAATATATTAAGTTTGAACGAGATGTGAATATAGACAATATTATTGAAAATTAATTAATAATATCTCTAAATGCTGACAGCAGTGATGAAGATGACAATACTAGTTACAGTTGTGATAGTTCAACTAAATAAATGCTATTTTTTGTTAAATTATGTAGGTACCTACTTGTCTTATTTTGTTCCTTAAATTTACGATAGAAAATAATAATGGAACAGGGATTCGACTGCTATTCTTTTTTATAAAATTACAGTACCTATTCAGTTATTTTGAAAAAGCACTTATAGGTACTGTAATTTTACTCACATATGTTTGAGGTCCGTATAGATTCATTCACTCTAGTCGATGTTTTTAAGCAGGTCACCTCACTATTAAGCTAAAACTGACAAAATTTCAATGGTGACCTATTAAATTGGCCCTACTATAGATTGATAAATAAACAGTAAAATTTTAAAATTTACTTATACGACATTAATTTTATTATTAGACATTATTTTTAAAATTTCATAACATTTGGAAAATAATTATATCGGTAAGTTTTTTCTATGGCAACAAGGGTTACGTTGCTAAGTTTCCAAAGATAACTTTAAGTTTAACTTACCACTGAACTACGAACCGTTGAACATAGATCTACCCCAAAGACTGCCTCATATGGTGATATTTGCCATAGTTGCCACCCTTGGCAGGCGGGCTTGCAATGACAGTTTTTATTATCTACTCTCAGTTATCAACATTAAGATTTTCCCGCTCATCTGCTGAAACAGTTTCATTTTCCTCTTGTCGCTTCTTACGACACGAACGGTGTGATATAGTAGAGTAGTGAATTCTCTTACACCGTCACTAAACGACATGTATCCACTAGCCAATATGCGGCTAGTACTGAATTAAATCAAAAATTAAATTTGAAGACTACATTGCTCAACTCAGAAATTATTGTATTTTGAAGCGCGCAAGGTAATGCCGTTGCCGTGATCGATATCAGCCAGTAAAACAACACCATAATCATTTTCACCAAACAAATAAAATAATTTACCTAAACATCAAGCTACAAGTTAACATTTCTCACAAAATATCAAACGAAATAGCAGAGTAATAATCACTGCGAATTATATTTGAACTGACTTTTTATTTTTAATTATAATTAATTATTCTTTTCATAAATGCTTATAGTACGAGAACTTTCAACTTATAGGTAACCTCTTTGCTTGTTACGTGAGGAACAAAATTATTATTTTGTGCAAATAAAGTAATTTCCTAGATTTTTGCAAAACAAACAACTTATATACCTACACTATTATTTAATACCTCTATACCTTGGTGCATTCTTTTAAAAATATTTTCTGCTTTCTCATAATTCATACTTCATATTTATGGATGATAATAACCCCTGGAAATGAGGTGATCGCTACCAAGCTATTTCTAATTTGTTGTGTTGTTAATTTGTGTAACATCATGATTGTAAGCAGTTATTTAAAAAAAAGTCCCGCTGGGTTTCTTGCTGGTTCTTCCCAGAGGTTTTTTCCGAACCAGTGGTAACCAAACAAAAGAGTGACTTTCAATAAGTATTATTTATAATCTATATTGAACAAAAAAGTTTCTGTTTCTGTTTCTGTTTCATAGTGTTTATAACTTCGCATACCTATTACAGTTTACGGCACAGGTGTATCTCGCAATATTAAATGTGTTGAATATCATTAAATTTAAAAAAGAAAACAGTTTTTGTATTTTTATCCCAGTTACGATTACATTGTACACTACAAATTCATGTATTTGTTTGCATTATTAATCATACATTCTCACAGAATTACTACATAAACGCCCATAATTGCGACCAGTGGCGTAGCGTGCCTTAGATAGGCCCTGTATCAAAATTTGTTGGGGGGCCCCAATGAGGAGTAAAGATTTCATAAAAGGAACAAAAACGGTTGCATTGATATAAAATTATTATATATTGGTTATAAGTTATTACTTACAATGTTAATTGTAAGTAAGTACTAACTCCTAGGAACTAAGCTAGCCAAACAATTCAAATCAAATATACACTTTTCTTGCCTTTTGTTCGGCGAACATAGCTGAACACGATTCAGTGGCATTCATAGCTGAAGACGATTTCAGTTTTTCTAAATTCTTTGCTTCTATAAAAAGTAGTGATAGCCTTTTCTGTCCCATAAAAGTCCTTGGAATTTTGGTTTATACAGGTTCGGGGCCCCTGTAACCCGGGGGCCCCGAACCTGTATATATGTTCATTGATACGGCTGATACGGCGGTAGCTACGCCCCTGATTGCAACTTTAAAGTTTGGTAGAAAACAGTTAGGTTAAAAGTTAAACTAATTACCTTTTAAGAGTTTATAAAGTAAAAAGGTTAAACGTTAACATTTAAATGGAAAACAATTTCATTTTGAAATTCCGTGCATATGTAAAATGTCCATGTAAATGTGTTACTATCGCAAAACATCGAAAGTACAGAAAAAGGCGATCGTCATCATTTTCCAGTCCCTAAACTAGTGTACGGTATATTCTGTTTATTTATTCTTTATCATTTTAACTAAAATGTTAAGATGCGAAGATATTTTGTCCGTAAAAGATTAATCTTTTACTCTGTGGCGTTGATATATTCGTATAAGAACATAATACACTCTCATAATAAAAAAAACATGGTATTTTGTACTCTTGCTTCCGCTAAGAAGTGACAAGAGCAAGAGTGTCTGACGCCAAACGTACGTTGCATACGTACTTTGAGCATAGAAAATAGATGCTCAAAGTATACGTAGGTCAAGTGTATGACACTGACGTAAAATGTTTCGATTACATGAAATGCGCGTAAATGTTTTATGATTGAAGGTAGATGATAGAAGAGTGAACGCATTGTTACTACATAAAATGACAAATCTGCTGCATAGCCAGTATCCTCATGATCTAGCATGCTTGATTTACGGCAGCTTTAACGCACACGCAGCACGACACGAATAGTAGTGGGGAGGCTCGCTGCTGCCTTGCTGGATACAAAATACATCCAGAGTGTTCAGCAACCAAATAATAATAATTAATGATCTATGTCAAGTCTACTCAATGTCGTTTTACATCGTGTTTCGTGCATGATTATACAAAGGTACTCCGTGGTGCATGAACTTGGCGGCATGAAGTTAATACAAAGCTAATAAGCGTAGGCGGGACTTACAGCAAGATGGAGCGTGAATTAAGTCTATGCTTAACAACGATGTTCTATGGTCGAATGACCACAGAGTACAGTCAGCGTCAGATATAAAGGAGCAGTCAAGGTGTTCAAATATTTTGAAATTGCCAAAATGATCATTAATATTGAACCATACATAGTGGCCAAATATAATAACAAAATAATTTCATTTACAATCATCAATAAACAGATTTTCAAATAATAAATTGTGCAAAACATATCAATGACGTCATGTTCGAAGTAAGGGTTACGTAGAACATTATCTAAAATAATTATTACCTAATTATTTTAGTATAGTAGTTAGGTAAGTAATATTACTGAAAGGAACATTAATAATTTAGTATGAAGTAAAATGTATATTATTGTAATAAAACTTAGAGAAAAAAATGGAACCCTATTTTTTTTTAATAGGATAAGGGTGACAAACGAGCACACAGTCCACCTGATGGTAAGTGGTTGCTGTGGCCCATAGACAACTACATCTATCTTCGTTTGCGAATTAAAATGCAGCTATGCGTTGTCACCCGTGAGGACTAAGATGGAATGCTTCATTTCCAGTAAAAAAGGCCTCCGGCCACCTGCACTCACCAAGCGAAACGCAGAGGTAAACATCTACTTCACGCTGGTATTCTGTGAGGTCGTGGTACCACCCCGGTTCGAGCCGGCCCATCCGTGCGACAGCAAAAGCTGCCACGTGGCTCTACCACTGTTATGAATATTGTATTAAGATAAAGTTATATTAACTGTTGTGTCCCGCGTTTTTGAACGCAGGTAAAACTACTTCGCCTCCATTAAAGTTTTGTTTGTTACTTTATTATGGATTGTTTTACTGAAATATATTTATATTATATTTATATTTTACTAATATATATTTGTCGCTGTATATGTCCCAATATATTTGAGCAAGATTGATGATCACATGAATTTACCTACTTTGGTGGTTGAATATTAATGATCATTTTGGATGTTTCTAAATATTTGATCACTTTGACGGCTACCTTCCTTTTGACGCTGACTGTACATCTATTTATTATCCTACTAGTATTACTATAAAGTTGTGTTTACTTAGACTTAAAGTCAAATGAGGAGTTTTGGCGGGGACTTGACCGGCGGCGTATTGCCGCTCCTGTATTATTGTTTAATGGTTTAAAGTGGATTTTGATATATAAAAATTGCGTAACTTTCGTGGAACACTCAGTTGGAACGAAGTTCCTTGCGTAGTATATTATTATTGATAAACGTAGGTATTGTCTTATTGATTAACAAATACAAATAAATTAAATACTAGCGTCTATTAATATGAAGCGTCATTTGAAATAAAATAATATTTCTTTCATGGCAAGATATGAAAAAGTGTAAGGGAGATGGACATTATTCCATCTCACTTCCTTATTTCGCTGCCAAGGCCGTTTACTCTATGACACAAGGGGTAGTGACGAAAAATTCTTACATTTTTTGTCGCCTAGCTCCCATCCGCCAAATCCTTACCGTCCGATAAGGAACTTCGTTCCAAAAATGGTGCGACTATGTGTAATAAATGTCTGCGCATGTGAACTGTTAATGGAAACGGTGAAAAATGCTCCGATCCGGAATTAAATGAAGACATGGCTTAAAAAACAAGCATCCAAGCTAAAAATCTTAATAATAAAAGTAAAAGGCGAATTCTCTCTCTACGAAGGCGAAAGATTTATACGTTTTGAGCGGAAACCAGAGTTAATAATAAAAGTCAAATGACTGATGAGCTAAGTATGGGCGTTTTCCGTTTTCGGCTGCGGTTACATAACCGATATTTAGTTTTCATATCGTTATTGAAAACTGTTCTCAAATATCGATATCAGTAGTAATAGTTTGCTACTAAATGCGCAAACGACAACCGAAACATAATCGAAAACTGTAAAACCAGTGCAACATTTATTTTACGAATTACTTCGATTATTTTAGTTTAGAAATCAGAGGCTCTAATATAATCTTAGATGTAATATTTAGACATGTTTGTTAATATATAATTTATGATTGTTATGTCTAAAATTACATTATTTCTAGTAAACATATACACACAAACACACACACACACACACACACACACACACACACACATATAAATTATTTTAGGTACATAGTTTATTTATTAATAATTATTTAAATTGGCGATTTACCTTCATATACTTAACTAGGCTTAGGACTAGCAGAAAAGTTTAAAACTAATGAACAAAATGCAAACAAATATCACAAATAAATACACAAACGCAACGTCAAAAATTAATAATTTTACAGATAATTTCATAGTGAACGGCACACGCCACCAAAGTCAAGTGCGTAATTTACGTTTGAGTAGTAAGTTTTGTAAGTTACGTTTTGAAAAAAAATCAAATTCTAAACTTTCCATCTAAAACATAAACAAAAGTTGTCTAAACAAAAAATATAATGTGATCAAACAAATCTAAGTCTTGTGTCTATTGTCCTAAAGATCATTTAAATCTGACAACTCTCACAACTACACAAACTTAAAAATTAGGCAATTTTAACCATTTAAAATTCGACCTTATTTTTTAAGGATCTTATAATTATATTTCACTACGTGCACCGTTTTATGGTAACTACCAAAACATCTCAACGAAATCCATATTCGCTTCATCTCTTTCATACGTATTTATGATACCGTTGCTAGAACGAGAAACAATGAATATCAAAGGACATCGGCTAGTTTTGGGCCGTGTTGGCATATCGTTACAGTTTGCGTTTTACGTTTCGTACGTTGCTTAGTTGGTTTTGGTATGTGATAACTAAACATCATATGCAAATATGCGAATGCATATAACTCCCTAATTACGGCGTTAATGCATATTTGGGCCTTTTTTTCCCAATCCTGTAGACTTCGTTTAGTAGCGGGAGGTACATATAGGGAGCTAGGTGACGGAGACTTGTAGAACATGAGCGCAGTGGCTGACTGAATTGACTGGCCAAATTTTAAATTTTGTGCAATGACGTCAGTTGATTTAGAGAGGTAGTTTTCGGCGTACAAATTGATACTTGGTGACAAACGTCACAAATTTGCACTCGGAAATTTGGAAAAATACTTAATTGTATATTGTCATAAAAACTATGCATAATTTTACGAACGTTTCGTTGTTTTTGTACAGTCTTTAATTAAAATATATAAAAATAAAAATGGTTTGTTTTATTTTGCATTGTGCATATTTTGGGCATATGAACAGTTTTAAGTGCATATTTCGACCTTTTTAGTGCATATTTGCATGCATATTTTGGCACTTTGTTAGTGCATATAATCCGATGTCTAGTGATAACGGTTATGTACTTAGGTTTATCGATATGATATGATATTTGATAACATAACGTTATTAGTTACGTTATGATATATCGGTCTCATGCCTACTGATGACTCAAAATTCAAAATCAGAATGTCAATTGCATCATTCTTTAAACTCTTGTTTGAAGAATACCAACTACTGGACTCATAAAGACGTTCCCTGTATCCTTAAAAGCTATCAAGAGACCTTTAAATTTCCCATATTTCAAAGTATGATTAATCCTCTATTCGTACATCCATTTGAAGCTCTATGTTATCATCCTCCAGTTACTTTAGATTTTGGTGTGATCAAAAATTCCCCTGTAGCCCAACAAAAATTTCTAAGTATATTACGCGAAAACTGGGTGGTTGACTCTTTTTACTGATGCCTCCAAAGTCTCCAATAATAGTTTTGTAGGTTCAGCTGTCTGGATACCGGAATATAAAATTATTTTAAATTTTAAAAATTATGCTACTTCAATTTTCACTGGAGAAGCGTTTGCTATTTTAGAAGCAATTTTATTTATAGAAGCGCATAAAATTAACAAATGTATTGTTTTTACTGACTCATATAGTTTATTGCAAAGCATTTCATCTAACCCGTTTCGAAGTAAATCGAAATTCCTAATTATTTTTGAAACAAAAGATGCACTGTATAGGTGTTTTTGTCAAGGTCTTAACCTGAAACTTGCTTGGCTGCCAAGTCATAGTGGCATACGTGACAACAAAATTGTCGATTCCTTAGCAAAGCAAGCATCTACTTCTGGTACCCTCATGCATCATATAACATATACACATGACCTTATTTCTCTTGCGAAAATTCATCAGATCTCTCTTTGGAAAAAAACTCAGAAGTCTATCGGTAAATATTATGCAGAACTCCAACCTGACATCCCCTCCAAACCATGGTTTTTTAAATTTAGAAATGGCTCCAAACTTAGTACATATGTCATATGTAGAATTAGACTGGGACACACTTGTTTACCTGTATTTTTGGCAAAACTTAAGATTAAAGATAGCTCAATTTATGAGTGTGGATTAGACGAAGGTACTAGCTTGCTACATATATATTTATCTATGATATATATTTATCTATGGAAGGTACCATCGAGCATAAATTTTTTAACTGTCCTAACCTCTCCGTTCCATTATACGATTTTCTTCCTAATAACATCCCTCGTCATGAAGTCTTTGTTAAATTTAGTTTACACTCTTTTTGTACAAACTTTATTAGACTTCATATCCATCAATAACATTAAACTATAGTACCTTTGCCACGTACCTATATCCATATTATTATATTGCAATAATTTTGTAAAAATATTATAATGTTAATTCATTCAAAAATAACTACATAAGTAAGTTCGTAACATAAAGCTAAGTAAGCGCATCTACGTAAACGGAAACTAGTAAATACTCTGTGTGACTCTCATGAAATACTTGACGCTGGCAGAATCCATTGGAAGTTGCCAAACTAGGAAAAAAAATGTCAATTGCAGTGAACTATGAAGGATTATTATAAAAGACAAGGCTGTATGGCATAGTTCTTTTACCTGCTCTCTCGAGCGAATAATAAAAACAACAACAATCAATGATGATAAAAATATAAACAATAACCTAAAAAGTACTTAAAAATCTTAAAATTTAATATTGTGTACCTCTAACCACTTTAATACGCAAAATAAATAATGATTATCTAGTGCAACTTATATAATTAGCTACGTATAACCTAGGGATTGTATTCTTTGGTACAAAATATATTAACACTTGTTGGAGTGCGAATTCTATTGCGAAACTTGTGTTATTATTATATCTCATTAAAAAAAAAACGAAACTATTTTAAAACAGTACGAACAAACTGTTGTTTGTTTTCCAAAATGGAAAAACGGGGAAAGCGCCAGCATTCTTCGTCAGGTTCTGATAGTGTAGAAGAGGAGCGCTTAAAAGATTTAAAAGAACGAGATGAATTCGCCAAAAGATTAAAGAAACGTGATGAAGAAAAGGTTAAAAAAGTTACAGAGTCCTCCAGTAAACGATCATATGAAGAAGCAGCTAAACGGTTAAAGCTAGAAGCAGAAGACAGAACCAAAATATTACCAAAGCTCAGGGTTCAATCTAGACGAAAATATTTAGAAAAAAGAAAGGAAGACAAAGTTATAGAGCTAGAAGCAGACATAGCTGATGATGAATATCTGTTCGATGAAAGTGTGTAAGTATTAGTCATGTTTGTTGCACATTACTTTTAATATATATATCCAAGTGCATTCTGAAAATATAATAATATGGAAATCCATATTTACAAGGATATATTGAATTGAATTAAATACACGAAATCAAAACGTCGCCGAGTACCGGAACAAATTTGTGTCTGAAGTCGAGTCTTTGCTGAACAAAGTCTCGGATTGGGGGCGACTAAATCTAGTCCAGTTTAATCCTCAGAAGACACAAGTTTGCGTGTTTACCGCTAAAAAGAACCCCTTTGTCGTATCTCCTCAGTTTCAAGGCACTCCGTCTGTCCGTCCGTCTTACCTCAGCCGGTATCGGAATCCTCAGAGTCGATATATCGAGTGACGTGCAGTTTCGTGGTCACTTGGAAGAGAAGGCCAAATTGGCCTCTAAAAAGCTTGGCGTGCTCAGCAGAGCGGCACAGTATTTCATGACGGCACACCGCCTGCAACTTTACAAGGTGCAGGTTCTGCCTCACATGGAATACTGTTCCCATCTCTGGGCAGGGGCTCCCCAGTGCCAGCTCCTTCCACTTGACCTCATCCAACGCAGAGCGGCTCAAATCGTCGACGACCAAGTCCTTTCCGATCAGCTCAATTCATTGGCACTGCGAAGAGATGTTGCATTCCTTTGCATTTTCTTTCGCATTTACCATGGGGAGTGCTCTGAGGAATTGTTCAGATTAATCCCAGCTGCCAAATTTCACGAACGCACATCATGGCAGAACTCCTGATACCATCCACACCATCTGGATGACATGACATTGGCGGTCCACCACTGTGCAATTTAGAAGATGTTTTCTTCCTCGCACAACTTCCTTGTGGAATCGATTACCATCAGCGATTTTTCCGAACCGATACCACTTAGGGACCTTCAAGAAAAGAGCCTACTCCTTTTTAAAAGGCCGGCAATGCATCTGCAATTCCCCTGGTTCCCCTGGTGTTGCAGTTGTTCATGGGCGGCGGTAGTCACTTACCATCAGGTGAGCCATATGCTCGTTTGCTCCCTCTCCTATAAAAAAAAATCATGGAATGCCAGTTACTTCATGGCTTAGTAGCGATAGCATTACCTCACTTAGCTTTGTATCTATTTTGTGAAATCTATGCAGTATTTTGTTGCTGTTTTCGTAGGCACAAAGATCCGTGATGAATAGTTTACCTTTTGCTCCATTGATCAGAGATACAGATTTTTTTTTATAGGATAAGGGTGACAAACGAGCACACACTACACCTGGTAAGTGCTTGCTGCGGCCCATAGACATCTACATCTATCCTCTATTACAAATCAAAATGCAGATGCGTTGTCACCCGTGAGGACTAAGATGGAATGCCTCATTTCCAGTAATAAGGACCTCCGGCCACCTGCACTCACCAAGCGAAACGCAGAGGTAAATCTCTACTTCACACTGGTTTTCTGTGAGGTTGTGGTACCACCCCGGTTCGAGCCGGCCCATCCGTGCAACAGCAAAAGCTGCCGCGTGGCTCTACCACTGTTTAAAATTTCACAGATACATATTGATCAGACTGTAACATTATTTAGCATATTTATTGTTATGTGGGTCAATATATTTAGTGTTGTACTTAATATCACATTCAGGGTCGAGAAATGGCCTACCCCAACTTCACATCCCACTCCTACTGTTTTGCTGTGTCCTAGGAAATGCTGAGAGGAATTGCAGCACCTGCCTGATGTAACAAATTGCAGTTAATATGATAGTGTAGTGGCTGAGGCAAGTATAGGTGCCTGTGATTTGTTAAACAAGGGCTGAGAGAATACACTACCTGAGAGCTAAAGCAGTTGCAATCCTAAGTTGCTAACAAAATATATTTTTTGACTCAATAAACCCTATCAAAATTGGGAAACATTCACCTATTAAATCCAATTTTAGCTTTTTTATTTTTGATAGCTAATAACTCATAAATTCTAATTATGTTACAAAAACTTGCTAATTTAGAAAATCAATAACCAGAGCATAGAAAAAATATTAAGTTACAGCCTATTTCTATTTACAGCCACATAAAAAAAGTGGTGATGCAACTGAGGATTGTAAAGTGCACTGACTCAACAAAAGCCTATTCATTCTTGCCTCGAAGACACCTATATTATAATTGGATGGAAACACATCATCATCATCACTACAGCCTTTTACAAGTCCACTGCTGAAAATAGGCCTCCCCATGGAATGACACAAAGCACGGTCCTCAGCCACTTGCATCCATCTACTTCCTGCATGTCTTAAGGCCATCAGTCCATCTAGTTTTATTTACGCGGTAAAGCCATGCTGCAGCTATATTGTGGTTGCAGCATGAATGAGTCGGCTTGTCACAGAATACCAGCGTAAAATAGCAGCGTAACGCTGCTGTGTTTGTATGGTGAGTGTAGAGAAGCGGAAACCCTTTTTACAGGAAAAGAGGTATTCCATCTCAGTCCTCAGGGCTGACGACACATCTGCATTTTGATTCGCAAACGAGAATGGATGTAGATGTCTATGGGCCACAGCAACCACTTACCATCAAGTGGACTGTGTGCTCACTTTTCACCCTTATCCAATAAAAATAACGCTTTACAATGACACTTAACTTCCTTATAGTTGCTTTGGCCCTAAACTCAATGAACTGCCCAAAGTTCAGGTTCGAGAAAACCTCAATACCACTCAATCAAACACTACTCAATTCTGGTGTGAACCCCCTCCACATCAGAATTGATACTAAGTATTGTATATTCCTTTCTAATTCAGTGTAGTTCAAACAATATTATAAAATTATATTAATAACAATTGATTTTCTTTATCTAGATTAACAGAAAGAGAAAAAAAAGAAAGAGAGCATAAGAAAACTATTTTACAGTTAGCAAAAGAACATGAAAAAGCAAGAGAGTTAGAAAATGTGCAAAGATATCACATGCCAAGAGATTTAGGTAAAGGTGAAAAAGGTATGTATTTCTATTTCTACCAATAAGTATGTAACAACTACTGTTTCGTGTGTAGCAATTTCCCAACATTTTAAGGGTAAATAGGAGCGGATTTTTATAAAGTAATGAAATGTGTATTATTCATAATTATTAGGTATCATAACTTCGTTTTAAGGGACCACCACCACCTTACAAGATAAAAAACTATTATTACCACACAAACTTTGTAATCTTGACTTAACACTTTAAGTAGATTATTGATAATCCAAAAGTATTTGTACCAATTTTGAAGTTACTAAATATGCACCGCAAAAAAGTGTCGTACAAATGTAACCTGATATATGGTAGTATGTAAGTGGATCCACTCAAACACACAAAAGATTTCATCAAATCGGTACAGCCGTTTATCGGCTAAATAACGGATTAGGAGGGTTTAGGAGGAGCATACAAAAGAATTATATTTAAATAAAGATTATTATTAAAAAAAAACAGTGTTTCTCAAAAAATTTTACGTGTACGTACGTAAGATAAAAAATATTTATTTTCAATGTGTATTATGTATGTAAATATAAGGAATTGCTATACTAGGAAAGTAATTCAGATAGCGCAAGGACTAAGAAAAATCGAATTTAATGCTATAACTGAAGAAGTAATTACTGGGAATTTAACTCTTTGGACTCGTTAAATAATAAAATAGCTATAATGTCGATAACAAGGCATACAGCCTTTTTTTTCTATACAACAAGTCATTAAGATAGGTTCAGAAATATTTGTAAATATATGTGACAGTATTTGAATTATATAATTATCTACATTTTAACGTTGGTTCCAATCAAATTACACTATAATGCACTTTACTTTTCTCTAAACAAAAATTAGTGCACTATAATATTTGTATATTTTCTTAAAAATTAACTTTTTCAGGCGAGTACATTGAAGTTGATGAAAATGAAAAATTACCGCATTCTGAACAACGCAAATGGGAACAAGAACAAATTAAATCAGCGTTCTTCAAATTTGGAGCAAAAGATGCAAAAGCGCAAGACGAGTATGAACTCTTAATTGATGAGCAAATTGATTTTATCCAAGCTCTTCAATTAGAAGGTAACAAAGAAAAAAAGCAAGATGAAGAAAAATCTGAATATCAAAAAATACGCATGACAATTGAAGAAACAAAAAAATCTCTGCCAGTATATCCCTTTAGAGATTCTTTAATAGAAGCTATAAAAACATATCAAATATTAATTGTAGAAGGAGAAACTGGTTCAGGTAAAACTACTCAAATTCCACAATATTTGCATGAAGCTGGTTTTACCAAAGATGGCAAAAAAATTGGCTGTACTCAACCAAGAAGGGTAGCCGCAATGTCTGTTGCAGCTCGAGTAGCGCAAGAAATGAATGTAAAACTAGGAAATGAAGTTGGGTACAGTATAAGATTTGAAGATTGTACATCTGATAGAACTGTTATTAAATATATGACAGATGGAACTCTACACAGAGAGTTTTTATCAGAGCCAGATTTAGCATCATACAGTGTCATGATAATTGATGAAGCTCACGAACGTACATTGCACACTGACATATTATTTGGTTTAGTCAAAGACATCACTAGATTTAGACCAGATTTAAAATTACTCATATCAAGTGCAACATTAGACGCTGAGAAATTTTCTAATTTTTTTGATGAAGCGCCAATTTTTAGAATACCCGGAAGAAGGTTTCCTGTTGACATTTATTACACGAAGGCACCAGAAGCTGATTATGTTGATGCCAGTGTAGTATCTGTTTTACAAATACACGCGACGCAACCATTAGGAGACATATTAGTCTTTCTAACAGGTCAAGAAGAAATCGAGACATGTGTAGAAATGCTCCAAGATAGAACAAAAAGACTAGGAAAGAAAATAAGAGAACTTGTTATATTACCAGTGTATGCTAATCTACCTAGTGACATGCAGGCTAAGATCTTCGAACCAACACCAGAGGGGGCACGAAAAGTTGTTTTGGCTACTAATATTGCAGAAACCTCTCTGACCATAGACAATATTATATATGTAATAGATCCAGGTTTTGCAAAGCAAAACAACTTCAACTCAAAAACAGGAATGGAAAGTTTAATGGTAGTTCCAATATCTAAGGCGTCTGCTAATCAAAGAGCAGGCAGAGCTGGTAGAGTTGCACCGGGTAAATGTTTCAGACTTTACACTGCATGGGCATACAAATATGAACTTGAAGATAATACCGTTCCAGAAATTCAAAGGATAAATTTAGGAAACGCTGTTCTTACCTTAAAAGCGTTAGGAATTAATGATCTTATCCATTTTGATTTTTTGGATCCACCTCCGCATGAAACATTAGTTTTAGCATTGGAGCAACTTTACGCTTTAGGGGCACTCAATCATCACGGTGAATTAACTAAGGCTGGTAGAAGAATGGCTGAGTTCCCAACAGATCCTATGTTGGCTAAAATGTTGTTAGCTAGTGAGAAGTAAGTATATACTGATTTTATTTGTTACTGTATAAGGTGTGCACAGATATCAAGTAATCAAACGACCAACCTACTTTGTCGTGAGGTTGGAACTTCTGAATTTTTATCCTTTAATTTTTCACTTAAGTAGCGAAAGTCATATTTCGTACCTGCGCACAATTTTATTTCTATTTTCAAAATAATACTAGCATAATGCTTTTAACATTACGAATATACCCATTAACCCACCCCGAGCTTAATGTATATGCTTATATCACCATAAGATAAGATAAGATAAGATAAGATAATCATTTATTGTCATAACTGTGTACATGAGGTCTTACAAATACAGAGTATGGTTACAACAGTTTGTCCATTTCGGACGTACAATATAATAAAAAATAAAATAAAGCACTACAATAAATCAATAATTACTTCCAAAAAATTCATCTAAATTATAAAAACATTTTGATAATAACCATTCTTTTAACTTTTTTTTAAATCTTGTGCTCTCTAATGATTTAATGTTTATAGGTAAATGGTTGAAGATTCTGATTCCGCATATTAAAGTACTTTTTCTATAAATGTAACTAGATGATTTAACAATGCACACATCAAAAGCATATTGAGTTCGTAAGTTCTTTTTTGATTCTTTTTTAATATTAAAATGTTGTTGGTTATCTTTAACAAACATAGAAATTTCAAGTATGTATATACAAGTCAACGTCAGAAATTTACAATCTATAAATACATTTCTTAAAGAGTCATATTGATTAATATTATACATAATCCTTAAGCACTTTTTTTGCAAAACAAATGTGGACTGAATGTCAACAGAATTGCCCCAGAATATAATTCCATATGTCAAAAGTGGATAGACATGACCATAGTAATAATTTTTTGCTACATCTCTAGATGCTACATTTTTCAATATTGATATGGCGTAACAACTGCTTGAAATCCTACTGTTTACTTTCTCAACATGAGATTTCCAGTTCAAATTACTATCTATGGTGACACCCAAAAATCTCATGTCATGCCCTTTCTCAATTTTTTCACCGTCGATCATAATATTTAATGCCATTGGAGCTTTTCTATAATTCCTAAATTCTATTAGTTTTGTTTTTCCCAAATTTACTTTTAAATTAATTGAAGTTAGCCAGTTCACTACTGTGTTTAGTGTGATATAAATTTCATTCACAAAATTTGCATCATCCAGTTTATCTCTTGATAAGAATATTGTAGCATCATCAGCATACATTACGCATAGGTGATTGATTATTAATGGAAGCTCGTTTATGTAAATCAAAAAAATCAATGGGCCTAGTATGCTACCTTGCGGTACACCTAGGTTTAATTTTTTGAAATCGGAATGCACTTGAGTTATTGATTTTGTTTTTTTGTCAAATGTATCTAATATTGTCGCCTGTATTCTGTCAGTTAGATAAGATTCCATTAATTTTAGGGTTATTCCACGTATGCCTATATGTTCAAGCTGTTTTATCAATATATCATGAACAACACACTCAAAAGCCTTTGACAGATCCAAAAAGAGACCAACACAATTCCTTTTTTGATCTACATTTTTCCAAATATCTTTCAAAACTTTAAATATCGCCAATGTCGTGTTCTTCCCTTTTTGAAACCCAAATTGATTTACATTTAAAATCTTATATTTGTCTAAAAATGATGTTAACCTATTTGATATGACTTTTTCGAATATTTTAGAAAAATTTGATAATAGAGCAATAGGTCTATAATTGTTCATGTCATTTTTGGCACCTTTTTTGTATAAAGGCTTTATTAGTGTTTTTTTCAACTCATTTGGAAAAATTCCTGTTTCTAAGGTCAAGTTTATAATATACGTTAGAGGTTCCGCTATTAAATGTGTACTTGCTTTTATTGCTTTCATCGGTATATTATCGTAGCCTTTACTTTTTTTGTTCTTTAAATTATTTATAATGTTAATAGTTTCGGAAATATTTACAGGGGTCATAAAAATGCTATTTAAATTTGGATTAGTCAATGGTTTGAATGTCATGTCACTAATATATTGGATAGGATTATTTGATTTGATATAATAGTCATTCATTAATTTAGCTATGTCATGTGGTTGATTAATTGTAATGTCATCTTTTTGAATAGTTTCTATTGTCTCATTAATATTATTTGTTTTTGTAGTATTTTGTTTAATAACTTGCCACGTAGCTTTGCTTTTATTACTACTTTGGTTTATATAGTTAATGTTTGCATTTCTTTTTGATTGCTTAGTAACTGCCTTCATAATTTTACAATAACTTTTGTATCTATTTTTCGCAGCATGGCAGTTTGTATACCGTTTCTGTAAATATAACTGTCTTTTGTTCCTACTGGATATCGTAATACCTTTTGTTTTCCACTTTGTTCTCTTTTTATATGTTATTTTAATTTTTTTGTTTGGCACACAAAGATCGTAAATCAGACTAAACTGATCTAAAAATATTGTATACGCGTCATTGGGATTACATTGTGCATAAACATCTGTGAAATTAATCTGTGATAGATATTTTAAGAAAATCTCTATATACATATCTGGGTTTCTTATAAACATATACCAAAACTTATTCTTAAAGCTTTTGTTTGAGGGAATCGATATTAATTGACAAGTATGATCAGATACCCCAACATCTAATACACTAACATTATATTGTTTCATATTAGTCATAATATTATCGATACATGTTTGTGAGTGTGAAGTTATTCTGGTAGGTTTCAAAATAGTAGGATGTAATTTATAGGCCTGAAACATGTTCAGTAGCGATTTACTTTGTTTATGATTTTCTAATATATTTACATTAAAATCACCCAATACAAATATATTTTTATAACAATTTCGTGTTCGTATGGTTATTTTTCTTAGTAAATACTCCATATTAATCAAAAAACATCCAAGTCACTATTTGGGGTTCTATACACGGATATTATTAAATAGTTTAATCCACTTATGAACACACCACAACATTCAAAATGATTTTCTATAGCCATTTCTGATATCCATTGAAGTTCGTGGTAATCAATAGATTTTTTTACAAAAATGGCAACTCCGCCTCCCTTTTTACGTTTCCTACAGAAATGAGCTACTTTTTTATATCCGTCAATTTGAAATATGTCAACTTCGTAATTCTTTAAAAAAGTTTCACAAAAACAACATACATCGATGTTTTTCTCCAGCATTAGCAATTCCAATTGTTCCGTTTTTGATTTAATACCTTGAACATTTAAGTGAATTAAATTAAAAGAGTTTTCATCTTTATTTACGAAAAAAGTCTGAATTTTTATTTTTACTTTCAATAGTTTTGTTAGGATCTAGAGTAGCATTAGCTTGTTTAAGTTTTATTTTGTTGAAAATATATGGAATAGTTAGTTGAACTTTACTTATATTTGTGTTATTATTAGTAACATTATTCGTCTTTGTGATATTATTTTTTTTTTGAAGTATTGTGTAATTTCTTTTTGCACTATTTTTGAGTTAGGTTGTTTTAAACATTGCGTTTTGATGGTGTTATAATCAACAAATCTATTTCTGTAATCTACACTGAGTATTTCTCTTAACATCAGTCTACTCATATATAATTTATAGTGTTGCTTTGTGTCACCATAGTTTAATGGTACGAATCTAGCGTGATGAAATTGAGAACACAAGAAACGCAACTGATCATTTAATTTACCAATATTTAAGATTCTGTTGTTTAATATTTCACCAACTAGTACATTTGTGTTTGATAGTAAGGATAAGTGGTAATACAGAATAGATCTGAAGCTAAGTGGGTTGCGGTCGTTTGAACCCGCTATAATTATAACATAGTCAGATTTAGTAAAATCTTTACATACAATATTACAATATGTTAAAATTTGTGATAGAAAAGCATTTGGTTTTACTATAGATGTCACTTGGAATTCCTTACCAATTATATTTTGGAGTAAACTGCGAAAACCTTTACCATTTTGATCACTTAATATTAATACCTTTTTTTTCGTCTCATTTGTATTGTCCGTGGAGTCTTCTCTTTCCTGTGCAGGCAATTCAGTAGTATTATCCACATTTCTTACCTTCTCCGGTGCCTTTTTTGGGCTGGACGATTTATTTTCATCTGATTCATTATGTGGTTGAGTAACAAATTCATCTTTTGTTTGGTCTAAGCATGTGAAATCAAATTTATTTTTATTTAGGCTCTTGCGTCCTTTTCTTATCGGCGTTGTTCGACATATGTGTGTCAGTTGATTCGTCTTTTTTTCATAGTTTAAAATTTGTCTTTTTAGAGAGCTATTTTCCAACAATAAATTTTCTATTTCTGTTTCGGCTATTTGCAGTTTATTTTCTAAGTTAGCTATTTTTATTTTGAGGTCATCCAAAACCTCGTTCATAATAAGACCTGCTTCGGGACAGCTTCTGTTTAAATTCGGTGTTTTGGAAATAGAGAAATCATCATCATCTGAATCCTCAGAGCAGAGAGATGCAAAAGAGTTTGCAGATGTAATGTTTGCATTATTTTTACTCCGGCGTGTAGCAAAGACTTGTGGTGTCGATGTATTATTAGCCTGTATTTCAGCTGATGTAGATGGGTTATTTGTAATTTGCCATTTATTTTTGCAATTTTCACAGTTCCAGTTATGACTTTCCTTCTGTTTCATTAAATAAAACAATTTCTCTGAGATATTCGTGCAAGTGAGATGATTCAATTTTTTACAGTGAGAACATTTCAAAAACTGTCTATTAAAAATAATCTTGTCGCATTTTGTACATTTTCTTGTCATTGTACTGCAGTATTGTATGTCCACTTTGTTTATATGTAAAAATGTCCGCTTCGCTCGAGTGTCTAAAGGCCGTCAGACGTAATAGAAATGACTCACCACAAGTGTACGCTGCAGCGGGCGTAGTGTACTATGACAGAATTCTTCCGTTGTGTATAATTTTTAAAATGGTTTTCGTTATATCTTCAAAATAAGCAAAACTTTTTATTAACAGTTTTCACTATTATATTACTGAGTTCACTATCTACACTTTAACATATAACACAACAATGATCTTTTGTTTTTATATTGGTTCACAATTAAAAAAGCCCGGAGCATAGAAATACGTGTCTACCCTTATGACATTTAGCTGACCAATTAAGCTTATATAGATTATGGAGTGGTTCGCGAAATTCACTATAAGGCAACTCCATCTTCCTTGATCAACACGTAAAAGTCTACTACTTTATAAACTCTTTTGCAAAACAAAAGCGGGCACCTAAGCAGAGAAACTAATGTAATGTTACTGTTAGATTTTTTGATAATTTAGATCTGTCTAAATTATCAGAATTTTGTAAATTAATTAACAAAAAATAGTTTTCGTTAGTTTTATTATAAAATTTTGATTAAATTAATGAGAAATAATGTTAAAGTTAGCGCTAGCCTGCATAAAAAAAAGTAAAAAAATATTTAGTATGGAGTGTAACGCCCTCTTGCTGAAGTCACAGCTTGCATTCGTCTGGGCAAATTAACGAGTAAGTATATCCTCTCATGGTTTCTTGCGAAATACGTTCTCACTCTCTGCGGTAATCACATTCTTTAGCTCTCCGATGGTCTGTGGAGCCGGTTGCACTAATATTACTCGTCGCTTCAGAACGTCCCAGATATACTCTCATGACTTTGAGCTGGCCAATACAAACAACAAATTCTGACCCCTAGCATTTACCATTCCATATCGCTATACATACAGTCGTCCATAAAAATTGAGTTTTCGCCAAGAACGGCCAATGCGGGTTGTACATGAGGAACTAGAACTTTCGTTATGTATCGGTTTCATAAGATTCAACGAATTTATTCCTGCCCAAAATATAACAGAGCATTTCAGAAACATAAAAGCGGTTTGGTAACCACAGTTTTTTATGTTTAGTCGTTATTAGGAAGACACTGCTGCCAATCTCCTGATTTATTTCCCTTTTACGACCCTCTTACGACACCCACGGGATGTTATGGGGTAGTGGATATTCTTACACCGCCACTACACGGTACAGGGAGATGTCAATATCATAAATGCACTGAAAGTTCTATTTCATGTAGAGTCGATATCTATTAACTTTCGGGAGTTCGTGCCACAAATTGCAGTAAAAAGTTGTTTTCTTTAAAAACCAATCACGAACAAAAAATTTTTTGAGACGTCCTTTTTTAACTGACTTAAAAAGGAGGAGGTACTCAATTCCTATTTTTAATGTGCGTTTCCTCTTACCTTTATTCTAGGCGAATCGATTTTGATTTTCATAATTTGATCAAGGTCTGACCAATTTTTGAGTTATCCTTAATAATTTATATTGAAGTCGGTTGTATAAAATTTTTAATTTTACCACTTTTTAACACCACGGAACTCTTATACCCGGCCAGTAATATGTTCAAATGGCTAAAACGTCATTCGTATTGTATATTTTCAGCCAGAAAAAAAAATCAAAACCGTCCGTTTTTTGCAAATGAGTCAATTACACTAAGAACTACAAAAAGTTATTACACTCATTTGCAAGCTTGAGGCTCAGGTGTGTGAGGATCGGTACCCCTGGCAGGCGGGTGGGTGATTGCAATAGGTACCAATGTCTCGCATTTTGACGCTGCTTCCCTTCTTAGGTCTAAATTAAGGCCACTGAGATGAGATAAATCATCATTCATCGTCATTACATACATTTACAAGTCCACTGCTGAACATAGGAACCCCCAAGGAATGCCACAAACCACGGTCATGAGCCAACTGCATCCATCAATTTCCTGCATCTCTTACCAGGTCGTTACCCCATCTAGTAGAAGGTCGCCCTACCCTTCTCTTACCCGTACGAGGCTGCCACTCGAAACCTTTCTTTCCCATCGGTTGTCGATTCTTCAAACTATATGGGTGGCCCATTGCCACTTTAGCTTACTAATCCGTTAGGTTATGTCGGTTACTCTGGTTCTACTGCGGATATCCTCATTTGTAATTCCAGCACGCAAAGAAATTTCGAAAATACCTTTCTCTATAGCTCGCTAAGTGACCTTGAGCTTCTACATACGGTCAGCAATGAAGGACATTAACTGGTTGTACAATCTTGTTTTCATGTTTTCTGTGTCATAATCACCCGAACGTTGCCCAACCGAGTTAAACTACTGGCATAGGTGTGACATGAACATTACACATGACCTTTGTTTTGTCGATATACCGATAGTCAACTTGACATTTGATGGGCCTGTGGCAATTTCGACGAAATCAAAGGCTTTATCGTGGTCCACATACGCAAGACATTTGTATATCGATGATCGGTCGATGTAAATGGCTGTACATTTGCAGGAGAGTATATATATATATATATATATATATATATATATATATATATATATATAATGGTACTAAAGTGTTTGCGGAAACCGGCTCGTCGGGAGGCTGGAAGAGGCTGGCGTCAAGTCTGGTTGCAAGACGATTCGTAATGACTCTAAAAAACATCAGGTGGATACGGCTCAGAAGGGAAATTAATCTGTAGAAAAGGAGAGAAGTTGGTCCTCAATAGAGCATTGTCGTCTTACTTAAAGAACAAGACCACAGCACTCCTCTCCATGCTTCCAGAGTAGTGCCACCGCGGAGGACTGAATTGAAGTGTTTCTGAAGTTTTGAAATCATGGATTGTTATCAATGGATTGGACAAACATGATAATAATTTTTTTGTGTTTAGTCATCTAGCGTTTATAATTAAGTTTACAATTTTATGTAAATAAATGAATGATATACACAATCTATGCTATTCAAAAGTCATTGATGAATAATTGAAATGTTTCCCTGTATTACAAAAGTTTCACTTCTATCGTGTGTCTTCATGACACACACTTTTTTTTTGTAATAATGCTGAACCCGCACCCCACTCTCAAATTTACAAATAATATGAACATTATTATTAGATATATATGTCTGTGTGATCATGCGTTTGTTTGTATATATATATACACCAACACACACTTGCGCCCAAGCTCATACGCACGTAACTACAGCGAACATAAAATATAGGCATAGAATAAATGCAATTCAATTATGACAAAATGCTTTTATTTTTTCCAGATACAAATGCTCCGAAGAAGTTGTAAGCATAGCTGCAATGTTATCAGTTAATAGCTCTGTATTTTATAGGCCCAAAGACAAAATAATACACGCTGATACGGCCAGAAAGAATTTTTTTCACAGGCACGGAGACCATTTGACATTAATGAATGTGTATAATCAGTGGGTTGGTTCTGATTATTCAGTACAGTGGTGTTACGAAAATTTTATACAATACAGATCTATGAAAAGAGCTCGCGACGTCCGCGAACAGCTCGTTGGGTTGATGGAAAGAGTGGAAATTGAAATGGTGTCTAGTATATCAGATGATACAAATATTAGAAAAGCGATTACTGCTGGGTACTTCTATCACATTGCAAAATTTTCTAAAGGTGGACACTACAAAACCGTTAAACATAATCAAGTAAGTATAACATATTTTAAATTAATTACGTGATAGAGCAATGCTGGAGCTGTATGATACTGCTATGGAAAATGAATGAATCAACTCGACTGGGGAAGTACAACGCTAGCACACAAAGTATTACCTTAAAATTGCAATATGTTATTGCTGTTTATTATGGTTAGGGACAATTTTACTAGTTATGAATTAAACCCTTTAATCGCGATGTTTTAATTCGAGTGGTATGCCTTCAGCGCCAGCCACCTTTAGGTATCGTTCCGCATCGTGTTGTACTTACTTACTTACTTATCTTCACGCACAATCCCTAACGGGGTAGCCAGAGAGAACAGATCGCCAAGTGTCACGATCCTTACAAACCTCTTTCGCTTCTTTCAGATTCATTATCTTCTTCATGCATGCACGTCTAGGTATCCGAGTACTCTTGACCCTACCCTCTTCGAGCAATTTGCTCACATGGTCTTCGAAAGTTAGTCTCGGTCTACCTTAAAAGATAGTTAACCATATATTCATGAATTAAATAAAATATACAACATTTTTATCAACAATTATTTCTAGTTAACTTATTCATTTATTTATTATTTAAATTTTGTCACATTACTAACCTTTCCATTCTTCATAAAATGAATTAATACTCTGGAGATGGACACGAGCTGATGGTACCTCCGTAGTTTTCTTTATCGCTTTTTAACGAGCATTACGTATTAAATTAATTGTTCTTGCATCATCTTGCGATTGAATCTCTGGTTGGACTCCATTTCGAAAGTAATTATTGTAAATTTGATTTTAAAATATATATAATAGTTTTATGTCCTTCACCCTTATCGACACCTTCCAGAAAATAACATTGGAGTGCAACACTAATAATTTCTGGAAAACAAGTCTCCTGTTTAAAAAAAAAACAATGCGTTTGTCTTATTGTTTAATTTTGCTTAAAATTGTTGAACTGCCGTTTTATTACTATCATATGGCCGAATAGATCTACGAAGTACCATGTGCTCTTGTGATATGGTATAAGGTTTATTTTTGCTTAAAACAGTTCGAAACCATTCATGCAATAAAGTTCGCTAATAAATTGTCTTTTGTCAATCCGCCGCCGTATATCGCCGGTGTTTATTTCGTTTTGAAAACACTAGTTTTGCTATTCTTACTAATTAGACGTTTTCAGATCGACGTTACTTTTACATCTGTATAACATTAAATAATATTTAACATTTGTAAATATCAATGAATCATAAACTTTATTTTTTTTCCAAGTTTCTTCAATGTTTGATATTTACAAATGTTATTATTAGATGAAAATGTTATTTAATAAAAACCAAGGTTTTCCAGGGTGATTTAGCTGTACTTATATAAATTATTTTTTTATAAAACAAAAAATAGTATAAAAGGTTTGTAATCTCTGCATAAAAAAAGTCACTTACTCTCAATTTCAAAGAAAAAACGTAGAAAACAAGTATAAATGTATCTTGTAGTCTATTTCAATTCGCTAAAAAGATAGTATGTAACTACTACCGTCAAAAATATATAATATGTACGTGTCTATGGGTATAATAGGTACGTGTCATTTACCATATGGTGGTAGGGGCTGTATGCTCGTTTGTCACCCTTGTTTACAAAATGGCAAAATTAAATAAATTTCTTTCTTTTTCAGACTGTAATGATACATCCCAATAGCGCTTTATTTGAGGAATTACCTCGATGGGTTATATACCATGAACTTGTGTTCACATCGAAAGAGTTTATGAGACAAGTTACTGAAATAGAAAGTAAATGGCTATTGGAAGTAGCGCCACATTATTACAAGTCAAACGAGTTAGAGGATTCTACTAATAAGAAAATGCCTAAAACTGTAGGAAAATCGTCAGGAAATCAATAAAACGATACAATAGTAACTATACTGTTTTAATTTATGCATTTGCATTAACTAATGCATTTAAAATTTGCCTAATTTTATTACATTGTTTTAATACTTAATTAATCATCAAAAATCTGATACTCTCCCTTTTCTTTCCCAATCACCATATCGAGTTGGTTCTGGACCTCTAGGTCCACCTACTTCTCCTGTATGAGGATTAGTATCATTAGGCCATGCCGGTAATGCATTTTCCTCGTGTGTTAATGGTTGTTCACCAAGATCTTTAATAGGAGTGGTTTCTCTAAGTTTCTTACGAAATTCAGCCAGACGCCTAGACTCTCTTTTTTCAGATTCTGCATCAATTCCTGTCTTGGAATCTTGTGAATGTTTGCAAGTCTGAATAGAGCTAATGAAATTTCCTGAAACAAAAATACATTTAAATTAATAATACATAATATGTATATCACAAAACGCTCGGGAGTACCGTTTGGTTTGCTCTTACTACAACTTCAATTTTATTACAAAAGTTCCATTTATTCATTTAAAAAAACTATAAGACATTTTTATTTTAAAAACATTTTGTACGTAGTAGAGCCATGCTGCAGCTATATTAATAGTATAGTTGTAGCACGAATGGGTCAGCTCGAAAGGGGAAGGACCACGCTCTCACAGAATACCAGCGTAAAATAGCAGCTTAGCACTGCAATGTTTCGTATGATGAGTGTAGAGAACCGGCGACCCTTTTTACTGGAAAGAAGGCATTCCATCTTAGTCCTCACGGGTGACAACGCAGCTGCATTTTGATTCTTTATTGAGGATAGATGTGGATGTCTATGGGTCACAGCAACTACTTACCATCAGGTGGACTGTGTGCTCGTTTGTCACCGTATCCTATAAAAAAAAAATATTTAAAAACAACCCAGACATGCTGTGTTAGCCACGTCGCCCGCTAGTACAGTCAGCGTCAGATATAAGTCAGTCAAAGTGTTCAAATATTTTAAAACAGCCTGTGATCGATCATTAATATTCAACCATACATAGTAGCTAAATTATTGAGAACCTCAATCTTTCTCAAATATATCGAAAAACGTACAACATCAAATGCATGAGTTCATTTAAACCGTTCAAAATTATAGTAACAAACAGAACGCCAATGCTATCTAAGCAGCCAAAGTATTCAAAAATGTGGAAGACCAGGAAATAAAATTTGATACTGATATCATAGGGTTCAAATTCTCTTTTTTTAGTATTTTTGTATGGATATCGAGTTGTGGCAAAAAAAAACCAAATTAATTATCGCATCAAAATTCTAAGAGCTTTTACAATAATAAGTATACTATTATATATGATTTTTATTTTTATACTATTCCACGCAAATAAAGCACGGTAAAACCTACTACGAGGGTGGATTGAAAAGTACTCGGCCTAACCAAGAAAATAAACAAATACTAAATCAGTTATATTTTTATTTTTCTACATAATCACCATCAAGTTCAATACACTTTTGCCACCTCCCCTTCCAAGCATTTAGACCGTTGAAAAAAAATGATTCTTCCTTAGAGTCAAAATATGCGTCTACAGCTGCTTTGACCTCGTCGTTTGTCGAAAATCTTTGACCTCCCAAGTGCTTTTTTAAGTTAGGGAACAGAAAGAAGTCTGATGGTGCCAGATCAGGTGAATACGGCGGATGCGGTAACAGTTCAAAGCCACAGTTGTGAATTTCAGCCATTGACTGTACTGACGTGTGAACACGGGCGTTATCTTGATGAAACAGGACTTTTCTTCTGAGCATTCCTCGACGTTTTTCTTTTATTTCCTCTCGTAAACGACGTAGTAAGGTGCAGTAGTAATCAGAGTTTATATTCTGACCCCTTTCAAGATAATCAATCATAATCACACCTTTCGAGTCCCAGAATACTGAAGCCATCACCTTATTTGCCGACAAAATCGACTTAGCCTTTCTAGGGGGTGGTGAACCAGGTCTTCTCCACTGTTTTCATTGTTGTTTTGTTTCCGGTGTACAGTAATGAACCCATGTTTCGTCCATAGTAACAAAACGATTCAAAAAATCATCTGCATCGGCTTCAAATAACTCCAAACAGTCGCGTGAAATAGTCAATCGCGTCCTTTTTTGTTCAACTGAAAGCAGTCGCGGATCCCACCTCGCAGACACCTTGTGGAAACCCAACTCGTTGACAATGATGTTTTGAGTTCGTTTATAAGAGATGCCTATAATCTCGGCTATCTCTCTAATTTTTAATCTGCGGTCTCCCATTATTAAATCAAGTACTTTTTTAATATTTTCGTCAGTAGTTGACGTCGAAGGCCTTCCAGAGCGGGGTTCATCTTTCACACTCTCTCTACCACGCTTAAATTCTGCTATCCATTTTTTGACGGATGAATATGACAGAGCACAATCGCCTAATGTACTGACCATGTCATCATGGATGGCTTTTGATGATAGCCCCTTCTTATGGAGGTACATAATGACGGCACGCTGCTCGATTTGCTCCATTCGCGGAAATTATGTCCGATTACTTTGTTAATAAATTTATAAAATCACAACTAATTATCGCACACGTTTCGAACTTCACACAATGAACTAGTCTGAACTGAACTAAATAATGTGGGTAGATTTGATTTTTAGAATTGAATGGATCTGTGTTAGGCCGAGTACTTTTCAATCCACCCTCGTACTTACAATGCTGTGATAAAGTAATTTCATTTACAATCATCAATAAAAAATATTTTCTAATAATAAACTGGACAAAACGTGTTAATGACATCATGTTTGAAGTAAGGGTTACCTAGTAACATTATTTAACCTCTGGTAGGTTTAAGTGAAATGATATTACTGAAAGGAACTTGCTAATAACTAACAAAACAAGCCCAAACTCGGCACATCTAGTTCTCCTCGTCGAGGAGATTAGCAGATACCAAAGTACACTTTCAGGCCGATAAAGGCCAAGATGTATAAGTACATATATTTATATATAAATCCTGCGTGCTTTTAGCGAAACAAAATATTGTAATAAAAATCTGTGATTATAAAAATAATAATAATATCTTACCTTGGTTAAGTATGTATTAAATTTGGTTTTTGGAATATTTCGTATTTCTACGGCGATCTTTTTCACTGCAAACAAGTGATACGGTATCCACTCACTCAAAATGATACCCAAGATAAAAAAAATTAAAATGACGCAAAAATTGATACTACTTACTTTTAATACGTACTACTATTATTTATTCTGTGGTTTTAAAATATTGTAATAAAAAGAACTCATTATTATTATAATCAAGTTTTTAAGAAATTTGGTTATTCAAATATTGTGTATTTGTACAGCGATCTTTTAGAGCCACTGCAAACAACCGAAACAATGTCCACTCACGACGGCGACTGACGCCGAACTAACTGAGTGACGCAGTCTCTATTTAGTAATAATTTATTCATACAAGGCTGCCGAATACACCGAAAATTTCGCAATTTTGCTGCCGAAAAAAAATTATTATAACTAAACTAAAAAAATTAAACTGCCATTTACATTCAATGGCTTCCCACATGATAGATGATGAGTTTTAAAAATATATTGAGTTGAACAATTGATATTTTCAAAAGTTATCGTGTTTGCCAAGCCTTGCGGACTTGATAAATCCACACCATAAGCCACTAAAACCCCTTTTTTATTTAAAAATAGCAATTAATCGATTTAAAAAATATATTAATAAGTCCAACAATCATTTATCTTTCTGACAATGTGCTTTTCGCTTTATATCACTTATATGTATAATATGATTGCTAGATACGATTTCATGCGACAAAACGTTGGAATCTTAATTATTAGACCCTAGTAGAACATGCCGACGCTTAGCGCTTACGGCATGCAATACATAATATTGATATTTTTAATCACTATCGATACTTTAATTGAAATTTTTAATTTGAATAATATAATATACTACATAAAAGTAAACTAATACATATATAAAAATTAATTTTTTTCTCTGTCTACCTTCAAAGTGAACAGTTGTGTTGGTGAATTTCACCTACTCTAAATTTCGATTAAAAATCAATATTCACTGTGTATTTACATTCAAACTTCGCGAACATGTCTATTACGAAGTGTTATCAGTGTGTAAAAAGTGTAAATATGGAGGATGCAGTGCAATGTGATGGGTGTAAATGACACTTGTGTTTAACTTGTAGTGGACTTATTAGCAGTGAAATTAAAGTAATGGGCCTAAAAACCAAACGTACAATGCTATTCCTATGCATACCATGTCGCGAGGGGCTGTTTCAAGTACCAATTTTGATAAAAGCTGTTGATACATTGCGGGATGAAGTACAGCAGTTGCGATCGGAATTGGCATCGAAATCTGGCCTAACTGACGCCACTTCTGCTTCAAAAACCGTCACGTCTGATGTTATAGCGGAAATACGTGAGCGGGAGCGCCGAGCGTGCAATGTTTTGATCACGGGCACCAAGGAATCTGAGGCGGAAGATGTGCAAATACGCCAGAAACATGATGAAAGTGTGATGAACAATATTATTAGTAATCTAAACGATGAAATATCCCCAAGTGATGTGCTTAAAATTATAAGGCTAGGGAAAAGAGAAACAGGCAAGACTCATTTGCTCAAAGTAGTGTTTAAGTCTCGGTGGGTAGCTGTCAAGGCACTTCAAAACAAAAAAAAGTTGAGCAAACCGTTGCAAATCTACTGTGACTAAACATCAAAACAAAGAGAGGCCCTACAGGCTCTGCGTACCGAACTGCTAGCTAAGCAAGAGAAGGGTGAAACGGACATCACAATCAAATATGTCAAGGGAGAACCCAAAATTATAAAACAAAAAAACTAATCACTAACAACCCGTACGCTACACTCACATTTTTATACACTAACATCTGCCGGGCTATTCACAATCGTCTCGGAAAGCGAAATCGACTCGGATTCGATAACTTTCTAAAAAAATACAAAAGCCTATTTATCTACAAAATTCGTAAATGCATGTAACTAAATGACGATACAATAGTTATAGGACGTATCTAAGTGACGTTTATCCGAACGTTAAATGTGAATAGCGTTTATTGGTTTCGGTGCGAGAAGTTATCGAATCCGAGTCGATTTCGCTTTCCGAGACGATTGTGAATAGCCCGGCTGGTCTCTGAATACTAAGTTTGACTTACTGCTTATTGAAATACAAACAAAAACCCTTCATTTGTTTTACTTACAGAGACTTGGCTCAAAAACATAGACAAGGGAGCCAGCATTTCGATTCCAGGTTACACACTATACAGATTAGACAGGAAAATAACTCCTGGAGGAAAATCAAGAGGTGGTGGAGTAGAAGTTTATGTACGGAAATTCATTAATAATATACCAATAGTTGTAAAAAAAAATAGTGCATACATGAGTGAATTGACAGAAGCATTATATCTTAATATTCAACTAAAATCACATCACTTCTTCTTAGTGGTTATATACAGAGCGGACAATGACAAGGAATGGAATATTAAGGACAAAATACTATGTGAAAACTTAAGTACTGCATCTGCACACAACACCATAATCATAGTTGGGGATTGTAACTACAGGGACATTGTTTGGCCTCTTTCTTATAATCAGAGCTTGTATGACTCAGCTCAGCTCTTAAAAATTCTACTTTGACTCGGATCTATGTCAACTTGTCACCGAGGCAACCCACTATCAATCCGGAAATATTCCCTCACTACTGGATTTGGTAATGACAAATGAGGAAGATCTTATCTTAGGCATTACCAATTCAGCTCCAATTGGTAAAAGTGACCACTGTGTAATTGAATGCCAAATTCAATACCTAATCTCAAGCCCTTCAGTGCAAGGATTATTTAGACATGTAATTAATAGAATCAGGCGTTACTTTGCGGAAATCCATTATATAAAAGCTTTTACAAAAATTTTTACTTCGCAAATATTTAAAGTCTTACATACGTCTAATAAAGGGCTGCGGCTGTGTGTGCTGGAACAGTTAGAAATATTAAAAAGTAATAATAATACCGTTGCATTGCTGAATGAACAAACAAATGTTACTAACTCACCTCTCTTAAATATCTTCAAGCCTGCTCTCTAATAATGTGGGCGTTGCGCGGCGGTTTGTTTTTAATTTTACAAACGGCTGCGTAAGTCCAGCGGTGATTGGTCGCATGTTTTATCGCATGACGCAGTCGCTCGCTTCTTAGGTAGAGAGCGGTTGCGTCATCCGTTTGTATAAAAGGCAGTTGTTTTGGCTCGCCGCTCACTTAGCGGTTAGCCACCGTAGAGTCTATATCACCTGAGGATGCCTCGTGAAGAGGCGAAACACGTGTCGTATTATCGTCAGTGGTGTGTCTTGCCTAGTGTAGTGGTGTTGGGAGTAGCGGTGCTGGGATTAGTGGTGACGGGGTTAGTGCACGCAATTGAGGGAGGGCGGGAGGTGCTTCTTCATACTAGGTAAGACACATCATTTTATTTTATAACGCGGATACTTGCGAAGTAAAAAAAAAAAAAAAAAAAATTTTTGTAAAAGCTTTTATATTTAGACATGCTTTACATAAAATAAACTATGAGACTGTTAATGCAGAGCTCAAAAACACACTATGTAATCATGACTGAAGTAAATCAGTAGATGAACAATGGATGGCCCTGAAGGATGAAGTGCAAATTGTTTTAAACCGACATGCTCCTCTCAATATGGTTAGGAAAAAGAAAAATCTAAATAAACCCTGGATAAATGCTTCCATTGTTGAGTTGACAAAACAGAAAGGTACGACTTTCCATTGACGTCAGTGGAGTTTGGTGTTGATACGTATTTTTACAGAAAGATTACACTATTATAAGCACACACACAAAGTCTCATTATACGGAAACGCGTAATTTTTGAGAAAAGAATAATTGAAAATCAATTATTCTTGCAATGTTTATGTCTAATCTGCTAATAAACTGGCGCCATTTTGTAATGTCATTGTCGACGTCAATAGGGATGTCGATTCTTTCCGAAAAAGGTCGATTTTTAAATCGATTCAAATCGTAAGCGGATGTATCGATTCCCAAAAAATCGATTTCTAAAATATCGATATTTTTTTCATGTTTGCATTTATAATGTAAATATAAATCCATTTTATGAGAAAAAAATTCCCTTCATCATAAAAAAATAAGGGGACTGATTCATAAGGATTTCTGTATCTATTTTGAGACTGCTACGTCTTCGGCGCTGCGGGAAGAGCAACCTCTACGCCTTAGCGTAACAAATCGCAGGCATCCCTCCTCGCCTCCGCAGCTTCGGCTTGTTGGTCGCCTTCGGCGACCAGCCTAAGCCGCTCCGGCTCGTCCGATGCCTACGATTTGTTACAGCAGGCGGAGGCTGCTCCCCCTACGCGCCTCCGGCTCTATAAAACCACTCTAGGGGTAGGACAGACTCGTACCAGGTGGAGTCGGGGTCAATTAATTCGGTTCTTTGACATAGGTACTGTTAAATAAAACAAATTTCAATAAGAGATCATTTATCATGGTATCTTTCTTGTTTTTCATAAAATGGGTTTATATTTACATTATAAATAGAAACATTAAAAAAATATAGATATTTTAGAAATCGATTTTTTGTGAACCGATACATCAGCTTACGATTTGAATCGGTTTAAAATCGACCTTTTTCGGAAAGCATCGACATCCCTATTGACGTCGACAATGACATTACAAAATGGCGCCAGTTTATTAGCAGATTAGACATAAACATTGCAAGAATAATTGATTTTCAATTATTCTTTTCTCAAAAATTACGCGTTTCCGTATAATGAGACTTTGTGTGTGTGCTTATAATAGTGTAATCTTTCTGTAAAAATACGTATCAACACCAAAATCCACTGACGTCAATGGAAAGCTAAGCCAACAGAAAGATTCTATGGGACTCATATGTAGCAGACAAGAAATGTGATGCATGATGATGTATAAGGCGTACAGAGAACTCAATAACAGGTGTGTTAGTGAAACAAGAAGACTTAGAAGTTTTTACGAAGCTAAGATTGTCGAGAGTAGAAACAAACCTTTCTATGCTCACCTACGCAGTTGCATGGCTTCTAAAGTTGGTCTACCGGCTGTAGTACGTGATGAACTTGGCAATCTTGTGGTTGAAGGGTCAAAAATTGCTGAAGCGTTTGCTTGTGAATTTGAGAAAGCATACTCATTTGAACCAGACCTTAATAATATCTCCATACCTATACCAAGAGTTAAAAACTCCATAGATGACATCCATTTCACATCACAGGATGTGCTTATGGTTCTCAAGTCCCTAAATGTAAACTCTGCTACTGGGCCTGATAATATCCCTGGAGTATTTCTCCAATCATGCGCAGAAACCATCACACCTGTCTTGGTCAATATTATGAATGAATCATATGCTTCAGGTGAGTTACCAAAAGACTGGAGACATGCTATAGTAACACCTGTTTTTAAAAAGGGTGATAAATTAGATCCAGCTAACTACAGGCCAATCAGCTTAACTCGTATTGTTTGCAAATGTATGGAGAAGATTATATATAAAAAAGTACCTAGCAGATGAGAAAATTATTCCAGATAACCAGCATGGCTTTGTGGAACGGCACTCGACTACAACTAGCCTTCTTTCCTGCTACCACAGATGGACTGAGGAATTTGATAAACATAATCCTTTGGATATATTCTACCTGGACTTTGAAAGGGTCTTTGACAAGGTAACTCACAGACGTCTTTTGGTTAAATTGGAACATCTGGGTGTCCGAGGAAACCTGAAATGGATCAAAAATTATCTCAATGGAAGAACCTTTCAAGTAAGAGTTGGAAATGTATATTCGCAACCTAAAGATGTCTTCAGTGGAGTGCCACAAGGATCTGTACTCGCGCCTACCCTCTTTGGCATTTTTCTTGCTGATCTGAGTTCTATAATACACTCAGAAGCCTGTTTCTTTGCTGATGATGTGAAATACTTCGGAAATCCTCTATTGAACCAGGGAACTTTAAGAGAAGACTTAGAGCGTATACAGGAGTGGACAAAAAATTGGGTTATAAGACTTAATCCTTCTAAATGCACAGTCTTGCATCTAGGTCGAAACAATCCCAGAGAAATGTCAGTTAACTCACACAAGGATTTAGGTGTCTTAATATCATCCGACCTCAAGTGGGCTGACCATATCCATAGTATTGTCAAAAAAGCAAACAGCATTTTGTATGCAATCAGACGATCGTTTCAATATCTGACTCCAGATACATTGCTCAAGGTTTATAAAACATACATCCGACCGCTGATAGAGTATGGATTTCAAATTTGGAACCCCTATTTTCTTAAGGATGTAGATTTGCTGGAGAGTGTACAAAGAAAAGCCACAAAAACTCCATTATGCCTTCGCAAAAAGCCGTACGAAGAGAGATTAAAAATATTGAATCTAACAACGGTGAAATCTCGCCGCACCAGTGGAGACCTTATTGAGACCTACAAAATATTGACACATAAATATAATTGCAAAGAGCTGCCACATATTTTTAACATCAGCAGTATCCACCGACCTAGACATCCTAACTATATGAGATTGACCCACACCCGCTCATACACTAATGTGGGACATCACACACTAAACAACAGAATTATAAATATATGGAACAAGTTGCCTCAAGACGTGGTAGATGCTCCCTCTGTGATTAGTTTTAAAAACAAACTGGACAAATGGTGTCAGGACAATCCAATTTAGTGTATTCTTAGTGTGAACTTGGACTAATATAAAACACCAACACAGATATGGGCATATCAGCTATAAGCTGCTCGCCTATTACCAGATAATAATAAATAATAATAATAAAAATTAATGTTTGTTTGTCCGTATTTTAAGCGCACGCATACCGTTTATCAGATTGCACTAAAACTTTATCAACTTATTGCTTGCAGTTGCACAAAGGTTAAAGGCGTAATAAATACAATAATAATAAATAATTTAAAATTTTGTACAACTGACTTCAATATAAATTATTAAGAATAACTCAAAAACTATTGGTCAGACCTTGATCAAATTTATACAGGACCACATGTGAAGCACCAGCTTTCGATCGAAATCGGTTCACCCAGTAAAAAGTTATGAGGTAACACACATTAAAAAAACATACAGTTGAATTGAGTACCGGCTCCTTTTTGAAATCAGTAGAAAATACAACATGTGCCGTGCATATCGTATCCACAATTTTTTTTAAAATTATAATATACTAGCTGACCCGGCGAACTTCATACCGCTTAACAATCGATTCTTTAATTTTTTATTTTTTTAAATACTTATTCTGCTGTTATCGGGACACCGAGTCAGCTATTAAGATAAAAAAAAGAAAAAAAAAACATTTATAGTATGGTATTAAAGTTCAAATTGACTTTTAAGTATTATTATGTTTTCTTTTGTATGGGAATATAGAAAAGTGTTGTTTTTAAGAGCTTTTCAGGCAATTATTTAAATTTTTCTCTCCGTAAGAACCATCTTCGTATTTCAAGAAATATTATAAAAAAATAATTAGCGAAATCGGTTCAGCTGATCTCGAGATTTGCGCTTAGCAACACATTCAGCAATTCATTTTATATTATAGATAATTCAATTTCAATTATTTAAACAATACCTATAACTCTTTCAAATTTAAAACAATATTTCCATAATTATTTCTTCTGCAGCAGCAACGAGCCGGGAACCAACTAGTTCAAATAAAAATAAAGCTCAAGTATTTACTATTTTCACCTTCTGTAAACTATTATTTGAGTAATCTCTCAAGAACTTGCTTGCTCTTTCACTATCTTTGAACAAAAACGGATGTTACGGTGCAACATTAGTGAGCTAGCTGGTTATGTGTTATCACATTCAATTCAATCACAATCATTGGTCGACTCACTCCACCATTGGACATGGCAGCGTCAAGGCGCATATTATACATATTTATATTGTTTGTATTTATAAAGGTGACAAACTTAATTATATACAAAAGTTGAAGTCAAATGATTATTTGAAACCCAATCCATTGCTAACAACTAGCTGGTATTCCCAGTTCTTTAAAGCAGTTTAGCTTTCAGACTCCCAATCTTTAATTTACAATAGGTGTGATCTGTATAAAAGACCGTGAATAAAATACTTTATGTACCTACGACTGCGAAATTGTTTATGACTCGTTTATTATATTATTAACTGTTTCACCAGTATAAATTCAATTGACACTTGGAAGCTTAAAATTGGATTGTCAGTTATTTATTAATGTTAGTAAATGGTCAGTGCAATGCAGAAAGTTTTAAGATACTCACCTCTCACTAGACTTCTTTTCAAAATAGTGACACATGTTACAAGCAACATGAATAATACAAAATAATTACGTTTGTACTTCCGAAATAAATAGTTCGTAGTTTGTTATATACGTGACGTGAAAATCAGAGTATGAATTTACTGGCTATAATCTATACCTAGCTGCAAAAATTTTTTATTTGTTTTTATAGTACTTCTTATTAGTCACAGACTAATATGATGTTATTAGTTTGTGATTTAAAATCACTACAACGTTCTAAATTCTACACGGCAGGTAATCGTCATACAAGTTATTAGAACCTCTTAGTCTATGGTTCATATATTGTAACTGACAGCTCCACCCACCCCCTTCCCTTCCTTCACCCTTCTGTCGAAAATCTGTCACTGTCAAAGAGCCGTTATTTTTGAGATTTATACCATGGGCATGCAACTTAGAACATTATTTTACGAACAAAATGATAGGTTTTATGTGCATGCATCTACATTCCGAAGCGTTAGGCTAGACTTATTTTAATCTCACTAGAGGGCACTTATATATTAAGTCTATGCATACGCAATAATCCACGCGCACTACGCAGTTAGTAGCGGTCACTGGTTACGCTTAAATTGTTATTAATGTTTATTGAACATTATTTATTATTAGAAAATGCCATTTTATCTGTGTTTTCAGACAATGAAAAACTGCTAAAATATTATTAGAATACGAAGGTAAATTTCGCCACAATGCACAAGGTTATAATAGTTCAGGTGGATAATCAGGCGGTCCCGAAAGCTAAAGACCCCGGATCACGTCCAGCAGATGTGTTTATTTTTTCCCTTTTTTTCAAGTTCCTTCTTTTGTAAGCGCCGTCTGTTATGCAAAGCACGACACTAAAGAAAATTAATTTGAGTCGCGCATCTATCTCTTGTATATATACATTAACCTATGTTTTATACATTTTCAAAGTTGATCGAGTGTAGTTTTGCGTTGATTTATTTCCGTAATTTATTGTCTTGCTTCCTGATTATCTTGCAACATGTATAACAAGTGTTGTGTTCCAACTTGTGCTAGTAGGCGAAAGGACTTCAGATTTCATATGTTTCCAAAATGTGAGTTAGGACTGAAAAATATTCACAGTGTTAGGCCATATACAGAAAGAAAGCTGGCAGCCTATCAGCGCTTATAGGGACCGGTCCACGCAGGTAACCGGCGCAGGCATTTATATGAAAAGGCGCCGATAAGCGCCGAACGTCGCCGACAAGTTCCGACAATCTTCGACACGCGTCGATCAGCGCTGGCGCCGCCCGCCATTTAAAATTAATGAAAAACTATACGACAACACTTACAACTACGACACACCAGATGGAAGTTAGCGTAGAACATTCTTTTTTTAACTAAACTGTATGCCATTTAATTGCTCCATAAATGCTCCAGCTGAATCCGAAATTGCGCCACCTCTATTGTTATTAGTTAATTTATAATTAATTTTTAAAAAAAATTAAGTATCGAAAATTTAATTTTGCTATAAAATATAAAATATCTACTTTTTAAAATTAAACTGTATGCTAATTGATTGCTCCTTAAATGCTCCAGCAGAATCTGAAATTGTTCCACCTCTATTGTTATTAGTTACTTTATAATTAATTTTTAAAAAATTTAAGTGTCGAAAATTTAATTTTGCTATAAAATATAAAATATCTATTTTTAAAATTAAAGTTAATGCCAATTGATTGCTCCTTAAATGCTCCAGCAGAATCCGAAATTGCTCCACCTCTATTGTTATTAGTTAATTTATAATTAATATTTAAAAGATTTAAGTATCGAAAATTTAATTTTGCTATAAAACATAAAATATCTACTTTTTAAGATTAAACTGTGTGCCAATTAATTGGTCCTTAAACGCTACAGTAGAATTCGAAATGGCTCCACCTCTGTTGCTATTAGTTAATTTATAATTAATTTAAAAAAAATTAATTGTCAAAAATTTAATTTTGCTATTAAATATAAAATATCTATTTTTAAAATTAAAATTAATGCCATTTGATTGCTCCTTAAATGCTCCAGCAGAATCTGAAATTGCTCCACCTCTATTGTTATCAGTTAATTTATAATTAATATTTAAAAGATTTAAGTATCGAAAATTTAATTTTGCTATAAAACATAAAATATCTACTTTTTAAGATTAAACTGTGTGCCAATTAATTGGTCTTTAAACGCTACAGTAGAATTCGAAATGGCTCCACCTCTATTGCTATTAGTTAATTTATAATTAATTTAAAAATAATTAATTGTCGAAAATTTAATTTTGCTATAAAATATATACTTTATAAAATTAAACTGTATGTCAATTAATTGCTCCTTAAATGCTCCAGTAGAATCCGTAATATTTCTGTCTATTGCTATTAGTTAATTTATAATTAATTTTGAGATAGAGTGATACAATTTGAGTAATAGCGCCATCATCAATAGAATGTAGTAATATTCTTTAGTTAAAGTCATTTTATCGAACAAAAATTGATTGACTCTCGAGGTCGTACGTAGAAAAGACTCAAGGTGGCATAAACACAAAAATATTATTAACATGGTTGTCTAATCCATTCATAAAAATCCATAATTTCAAAACTCACCCATCAATACTTTTTTTTGGTTTTATGCCATTAAGCATCTATTCTACGTACCACCTTGAGAGTCAATCAATTTTTTTTCGATAAAATGACTTTAAATATTAAATGTTACTACATTCTATTGATGATGGCGCTATTACTCAAATAGGATCACTCTATCTCAAAATTAATTATAAATTAACTAATAGTAAAAGACAGAAAAATTACGGATTTTACTGGAGCATTTTAGGAGCAATTAATTGACATACAGTTTAATTTTATGAAGTACGTATTTTATGTTTTATAGCAAAATTAAATTTCCGACAATTTATTTTTTTAACAATTAATTGTAAATTAACTAATAACAATAGAGGTGGAGCAACTTCGGATTCTGCTGGAGCATTTAAGGAGCAATTAATTGGCGTACAGTTTAATTTTAAAAAGTAGATATTTTATATTTTATAGCAAAATTAAATTTTCAATACTTCAATTTTTTAAAAATTAATTTTAAATTAACTAATAGCAATAGAGGTGGAGCAATTTCAGATTCTGCTGGAGCATTTAAGGAGCAATCAATTGGCATTAAGTTTAATTTTAAAAAGTAGATTTTTTATATTTTATAGCTAAATTAAAATTTTGATACTTAAATTTTAAAAATTAATTATAAATTGACTAATAACAATAGAGGTGGAGCAATTTCGGATTCTGCTGGAACATTTAAGGAACAATTAATTGACATACATTTTGATTTTAAAAAGTAGATATTTTATATTTTATAGCAAAATTAAATTTTCGATACTTAATTTTTTTTAAATTAATTATAAATTAACTAATAACAATTGATTTGGAGCAATTTCGGATCCTGCTGGAGCATTTAAAGAGCAATTAACTGACATACATTTTAATGTTAAAATGTAGATATTTTATATTTTATAGCAAAATTAAATTTTTGATACTTAAATTTTTTAAATATTAATTATAAATTAACTAATAACAATAGAGGTGGAGCAATTTCTGATTCTGCTGGAGCATTTATGGAGCAATTAATTGGCATACAGTTAAGTTAAAAAAAAAGAATGTTCTACGCTAACTTCCATCTGGTCTACGACACGCATATATTTTTGTTAAATAGAGAAATCAATAGTGACGTGTTGATTGTACGGAAGACGGCATATCAAGTGTACACTTAGATACTTTTTAAATTCGCTCTTATTACAAAATGATAAGGTCGGTACAAATCTCAAAGTGTTACGCTTGATCTGCTGTTGACTGTACAAGTGTATATTTAAACCACGTTTAAATATTTTAAATTATTATTTATTACAGAGCTTTACAGTTCTAAGGCGATATTTTGTAAAAAATTGACTAATGGACAAATAAACATCTTTTCTTAAACATTTTTTTTTATTATAATCTTTTTATAAATCTAATAACTTTATCATTTAATAACTAAGCGATAAATATATTTTTTGTACTTAATATTTCTTCTGGAAGGATTGGTTGTTTATGTCAATTACACCAATTTTCATCAAATGTTTTTCCACTAAGTTCAAAATGTAATAAAATGTTTCTTGAGTGATTCTTGTTATCTATAGAATTTTTGATCATCAAATTCCAATTGTTTTACAAATAAATGATGGTATTCTCCGAAACGTTTCCTTTCTCTATTAATAGGATGTATAGCTTATTTTCGCATTTTAAAATACACATTTTCGAACAAAACTAATTCATCGTCCGATGAGTACGACATTTTACTCGATCTGCTTCAATCGGCTTGCTTTATGTAACTGTTACCAGAATACACCAGCGCCGATAAGCGCTGGTAGATCGGCGCCGGCTGCCGGATTTCTTTCTGTATACGGCCTTTACTGTGAAAGACTGCGAAGCTTTCTTCTTTATTTCCAGAAACTTCGTATAATTTGTGTGTCGAAAACATTTTCAAAAGATGTTTCTCGCAATGACGCTTGAAATAGTTCGTCTTTGCCCTAACGTCTATCCAACGTTGTTTACTGCTAGGGAGATGGCCAGTGGTATTTCGCTAACGGTTGCAAGAACCGCCGTCAAAACTGGTAAATATGGTATTGTGATGTACTGCTACATTAAAGTGATATTGTTTATAATAATTGTATCTAATGGTAATAGATTCAGAGTTCTTTGGTACTTACTGCCTCAAACTTATAATAGAGATTAACTTTCATACGTGCTTGTGACGTATTATGTCTGTTTCTGATGTATTATGTCAGGATATATGTATAAAGCTATTGTTATTTCGCCCAGACTATTGCCATTGCATTTTCTTTTAATTCAATACTCTTGATTAGTAATTATTGGTGTTACAATTTTAATCTTAAGATATATTTAAGGTGTAATTTAGTCTTACCAAATGATTGTTTTGCCCTGTTGGTAATTGGATGCTTTGACCCATAGACATCTACAATACATAACATATCCACATTTTGATTAAGAATTAAAATGTGGATATGTTGTCACCCCTAAAGACTAAGATGGAATGCCTTGTATTCAGTAAAAAGGGTATCTGGTTCTGCACACTCGCCATATGAAACATTGCAGCATTAAGCTGCTATTTTACACTGGTATTCTGTGAAAGCATGGCCCTAACCTGGTTGAGCTGACCTATTTGTGCTACAGCCATAAGATAGATCTAGTGTGGCTCTGCAACGTAAAATATGTTCTATAAAATAGTAATAATAAAATGTAATGCTATAATTAGTACCTGTTGTTTACAAACTAACTTTAACATATAGCTTCTCTTAATAGAATTCTGGCAATGTCAATACTTTCAGCACTCATTTCAATGCCACCTTTTAAATAAATAACTATCAGGACAAATCCCCTTGATTAAACTATCTACCTGTTGTTATGTAGTATTTATTATCTGCTTCTTTTTTCAGAGAAAGTCAACACTGATCACATTTATTGTAAAAAAGGCAGCATTTGGATCACACCTACTGAATACCAGAAGTTGTAGAAAGATACCTTAAGCCTTTAAATACTTACAACAATGGTAAATTTGCATTCAATTCTTTGTAATAATAATTGTATAAAAATTTATTAAATATTCAGATTATATATGTGCAATAATCTATTATATTGCTTATTTAGCATCCATAATTTGTGTTACTGTTTATCTTTGTTAATTACTGTCATACAAATACAGCACAATTTAATGCATATGCATAAAGCAAAATTCCCTATGCGTACCTTATAAATATATGAGACCAGAGTAAGTTCTGTCCTAACCCCAAGTTCATTATATCCGACCATTCCTATAATAAATATGGTTGGATACATTAATTAGGTATACGCCGTAATGTTTCATATACAGATATCTCACAAATTTATTCTGTACCCTCTCCAACATTAGCTTAGACAGTGGAATCCGTTTATAATGACATGGAAGGGAAATAACAAACACGTCATACTAAGCGAACGTCATATAAAGCATTGTGTAGAAAATAAACAATCTCCAGTTTTTGTTAGTATGTATTTATTTTAATAGAGAAAAATCTTTAATTAAAGAAAAAAACTTAAATTCTTAATAATAAATTCTTGTTTTTAAAAATCATTGAGATTGTCGAGTGAGCAACCCCAAATTCCCTTGCGAGAGATGAGTTGGATTCTCCATTTTCTAAACTGTACACGCACTGACGTTGAGATTTCATTTTTTTCACAAATTACTAAGAAACAATGCCGTGACCTTCAACAATCAATTACTCATAGAGACTCAAAACAAAAAAATGGAATGCACGCGCCGAACTTCGTCGGGTATCAATTGACTCCTGAACACTGCCAAAAGTGTCAGGAATCATGTCGGCCACTATAACGGGATAAAATTTATTAAAAATGGGTCACAATAAGCCACTTGTCACTATAAGTGAAGTCATTATATCCGACTTTATTATAAAGAATTTTGAATGAAAACCAAACTTTGCTGGTAATTACGTCATAATAAGCGGTTGATCAATATAAGCGGAGTCATAATAAACGGATTCTACTGTACTTAGCTTCATGTGGGGACCAAACAATGCAAATGTTTGGTCCCCACAATTAAAAGCTTTTAATAAATTTAAGATAAAATTAAAAAATAAAAACATTTTTAAATAACACATTGTTTTCTTTTATTTTACATTCCCCTTTTGACAAGCTCGAATCAAATCTATCTAAACATAAACAATTTTTATGAACACATTTCATAATTAGATTAATAGATAAAAGGAGTACAAAAGTACCTAGGTCCTATAAAAAGTAGGCTCTATTTAATAAAACTTTGATCATGACTAAAATTAAAAAAAGCTGTCATATATGATTTTTTTTTTGGAGTTTATGGCCTGGTATCTAGACCTTTAGGCCAAGTCTTAAGTATTTTTATTCGGTTTATTGTAATTTCCCCACTCCTTCATAGTATACTGCTTCACAATATGTTGATGCGTCACATTGTGCAGTTCTTGGGAGATTTTGGCGGCAACTTGATCCAGCAGACAGCTGATAGTTGGCGATGGTATCTAAAGGTGCCTATGCAAACAAACAGCTTATCTTGAGAATCCATCACCATCAAAGCACTTGTTTCACTGTTTCCACTAATAGTTCACATGCGTAGACACTTAATACACAAAATCGCAACACTTTTACATATCAAAGTCCACTTCAAACCATTATTTAAACAATAATACAGGAGCAGCAAACCGCCGCCGGTCAATTTCCCGCCAAAAACTCTCATATATGATATGTGAGCTTAGACCATGAAGTTATAGATAAAGATGGAGGCCACACTTGGAACAACAGCTTGAGTCAAATACCTACGTATCTTTATCTCACTCTCTGTGGTCTGACTTCTCTTTATAGTGTGGAACACAATATTGCTATGTTTTTATTTGAATCTCCCGGTAAATTCTTAGAAATAATTTCCACACTAACTAAATCAGAAGTTAAGCTTTGTAAAATAATGTACCAACAAATAAATAGTTGATCTACGATTAGTTACATTAAAAATTCCAAAATTGAAGGTCTCGTATGCATTATTGGGTTCACGAATCAGTGAATTACAATCCCATTTCCTAAGAATTTGGTAATATGGCAACATTAGCCCTATATGTCAACTAGAAATGAGTCGTACTAGGTAAATTTTGTACTAGGTGCACCTAGTCCAATTCCGTACAAATACTTGATCCAAATACCTGTTCCTCCTAGTCCATGAAGTATGCATAAAGATTGGTATTGTTGGAATAAGGTACACTTTAAAGTATACTTAGTCTTTGCGTACCACCGATACGTGTACGTATAGGGTATTAGTGTTCTGTGGTACGTATGCAGTAATGAATTGTAATCTTCCCTTCATACTTTACACAGGCTTAGGACTGTCAACGTAAAGATTTATCTACATTATAGATTGTTGGCGTATTTAAAAGATTTCAATTCATTTTTTTTCAAAGTAATCAGTTATTGTGTGTTTTTAGATTTTTTTAATTTTTTTTTATTTGCTTAAATCACCTACCAACAATAATTATTTTTTATATATACGGGGAAAATCAGCCTCATGAATTTTGATTTAAAAACATTAATTGTTGAACTTTTCGAGTCCCTAACCTCGTTCTCCTGTCATTAAGTAACAATCCACAGGAGGAAAATAATCTTTCACAGGGGACACTCGTGGCCATTGCATTTAACTTTTTGAGTGCTAGGGCATACAAATGCGGGTATACATCCTTCCGCTTTTTCCACCACTCTAGTGATGATATATTCTCACACGGCAACACAACTTTATCGTCCAAATATCTTTGCACTTCCAAAATCGCTCGAGAAGTTGCCGTGCCCTTAGGTTGTATATTTTTCATTTTTTCGGCATAATGCTGCCATACTAAATTAATTTGAAGCTGAGGTGGAGGATTTGCTGCTTGATCTGATAGCTGCTGCTCTTCGTTTTGAATTTGGGGATTATTTCGATCCTCTTTATTTATAATTGTTGTAATCATTTCTATGATTCTTTGTTTTGTAGTGTCAGCTACATACTGATCTTCAAAATACAATTTGAATCTGGGATCCAGGAACATACACGTAGTAAATGTGCCGCTTTTGTCTAAATGTATAAATCTATTTTTATAGCGGCCAGCAAGTCTTGTTGTAATTTTTGGGCGGTGTCGAGGTATGTATTACTATTAATATTTTCTAAAGATTTAACTAACCCTGTCGTTATAGGTATCACTAAACTTCCTGTTACATATTTTTGAGCACTTACTTCCCTTGTAACTTCTTCACATGGTTTTAAAATGTTGCAAATGTGTTCACAAAGTTTCCATTCAACTGCAGTTAAGGACATGCTAATGGCGTTTAAGTTAGAGAGCGCACTATTAACCTCTTCTTTTAATTCTACAAATCTCTGCAACATGTAGAATGTAGAATTCCACCGCGTGCTTACACATTGTAGAGGTCTTTTAGGAGATTTTCCAGCCTGTTCCTGGTAGTTTTTTAATTTTTCCCAGGCTTGAGCGGATCTTTTAAAGTAAGCAACAGTAGTTTTCACCTTATTAATTAAATCAACTAATTCTTGTGTCGCACATAATGCTTCTTGGACAGCTAAATTTAGCGTGTGTGCATAGCAACCAAAATGCTTCCAGCCTAAATCTATCATGGCTTTTTTAATATTGGCGCCGTTATCTGACACTGCTAACAAAATTTTTCCTGACACTTTCCATTCCTCTGTTATTCGTGACAGTTCCATAGCTAAATTGGCACTGGTATGTGATCCCTCTAAATGTACACAATCTAACAAGATAGATTTTAAAGTGCAGTCATTTTTATTGATATAATGACCAGTAATACCCATGTACGAGTCGTTTGTACTTGATGTCCATATATCTGCTGTGATGGAAATCGATTCAACATCATTTGCGACTTCCGTCATTTTTGAAGTTCGCAAACTTTCGTAGCGACTTGGTAATAAATTGTTTGCAAAGTACTTACGATTCGGAATAACATAAAAAGGAAAAGCAGACTGAATTAATTGTCTAAAACCTCTATCTTCTACAATACGGAATGGTTGAAAGTCCATAATAAATAAATCCATTAATAACTTATCTATATCAGATTTACATTTATCAGCATTTTTTTTTATATATGTATGAAGCTATAGTTCTCGAACCTGGTTGTACTAATCGTACCAAGTTAGTGGATGGACGTTGTTCACCTTCAGGTTGTTGAACTATTCCAGCAGGTTGGTTTGAGGTTGACGATTGCTGGTTGGTCTGAGCTGCTATCACTGGAGCTGGAACATCGTTCCTTCTAACTAAACTTACTAATGGATGTTTACGTTTAAGGTGCTTTGTAAGGTTTGATACAGAACTTTTAAAACTCAACTGTATTTTACATATATTACACTCAGCCATTTGCTGGCCTTTGTCCGTAAAGTGATCCCAAGCGACACTAATTACTTTGGGAGCCATTTTTATAAACAATTAACACTTTAATGTCTTAATAAAAAATAAAATAAAAAGTTATTTAACTACTTAATAACACTTAACTTAACTATATAATATATCTTAAATTTATAATATAACTTTAATTTATAACCTAACTTAACTTTATACTTATTATCTCTTAACTTTGTTATGAAAACCAATTCTTATAAATAAGTCCAATACGCGTATACGATTGCAACGTCGAGTACCTAGTTACTGAGCCGGCGTCCACTGAGATCACATTCGCATGAGTCCGTACATGTCCGTACTAGGGACTCGACTGCCTAGTATTTGGTTGAAGTCCCGAGTAGACTAGTCTCAAACTCTCAAATAATAAAAGACAAAGATAGAAAGACTGCGGAATAGTGCAGTTAAAAAAGGACAGAATATTATATTTTTGTACAACACGAGTGCGCGTCGTGTGACTTTTTTGTACATTGAAATATGGTTCAAATTCAAATGGCTGATACACGAATGATTTAAAGTGAGCGGCAAAGCATACTAGTAACTATGGCAACCAATTGCGATCTCGGTTCGCCGCGCCGGTTCTTCATACTTCAGTACCGTGAGACGCGTAGGCACAGTGAGACTAGGTGGATCAAGTCTTTTAAAAATTGTAACAGGTGCAAGCTAGTCTCGTTTAATACCTAGTGCCTGGACCTGTTCTAGTATATAGACAAATATGGCGGTTGTTTACTTAGCAGTTCACAGCGTCGTTTGAGATATTTAAAGTTAATTATTTTTATAATTCAAGAAATGGTGCAAACTTGTGTAGTACGTGGTTGCAACAGTAGTTGGTGTCCAGGAGGTGATATAAGATTTCACACGTAAGTGTTTAAATAGTGATTTCTGACATTGAATACTTGTAAACATAATTTTTGTATTTTCACTTAATTTTTTGCTGAAACGTTTTATCAGTGTTTTAAACATATTAGTAAATTATAACTTTGTCAAAATCAAATAGTTTTACATTGAATTTAATTAAGTTTGAACAATTTTATTGTTTTTGTTTAAAAGAAATCGCACTGAAGTAGTGTGACCATATTGATGATGTATCTGAGACTTTCCGTGTGACCTTAACTAATTATATGTACATGTTTCTTATTATGTTACCGGAAATGCATGAAATTTAGAAATTATGTACACTTCCTATATATTCTATATAATGACGTATTTCATAGATTTCATAATATTAAATTAAAAATGAGTAACATAATATATTCTTTTGGTAGACAATTTATTTTTATTTAGTTTTTGTTTCTCATTATTCTGATACTTTAATAACGTTTATAATAATTATGTATTTAGAAATGTAGTAGTTTAGATGTATGATATAAAGCAACATTTTTTAAAATATGTTATTATTTGCAGACAATAAGTGCATTACATGAAGAGTCTATTGAGCAAATAGCTGCTCTGGCTGTACCAAGCACTAGTTCTGGCATTTATGAAAGTAGTTCTGCACTTAAGGAAACAGAAGTGAAATGTACTGGCTGTAATATTGAAGACCAAACTAGTAAAAAACAATGTCGAAAAATTCTTGAAAATTTGTGCAATCTTAACAAATTACCTGTAAGTGTCCTTTTCCTTTATTACTAAATACATACCTTTTATTTGTATTTATTATGACTTTAATATTACATTACATAATGTATTATATAGCTTAAAACACATACATATTTAAACTCTTTAGTGCCAATCGCAGTGTGGTAATAGTTACTACGACACTAAGCATAAAGCTTCTTGTTTGATGCTTCATTTATGCGTGCTCATGAAGGCGCGCTCCGGTGTATTATATGTTACCTATTAAGTGATGTAAATTTGTACTGACATTATGATGTAGAAGAGTTATATGTTTCTTTTTTTTGTTAGAGTTCTCTAATCTCTGGTTTGATTTGAAAATATTTTTTTGCATTTTTAAAACCAATTCTTCAGGAAGTCTATCTAACATCACGCTACGACCCTTATGAGTGGAGCAATACGATGTACGATGCTAAAAATACTGATTTCATAAAGTTTTCTTGTTTTCTTAGGTCAGCAGTGAATACGACGATCCCGCGAAGATTGATAGGGGCGTGCAAGTGAAAATAAAGTGTACTAAAGAAGAAATACTTGAGACGAAAACTAAGATTCTTAAGCAAAAAGTGGCGCGCCAAACTAAAAAATTCAGGATAGGTCTTCTTTAATGGACACTATTAAAAAGTATATGGGTTAGTCAGAAATTGAAAATATTATTCAAGGGCGCTTTGCTCATATCTGTAAGGACTTCAAAAATCCACATGGTGTGAAAAATTCAATAAATAATTTTAATATGGAAAGTGTTTTTATTTATTTTTTTAAGGTTTTTAACAAACCATGTAGTGGTGGTGTGAGAATATCCACTACCCCATATCGTTCCGAGGGTGTTGTAAGAGGTGTCAGAGGGAAAATGAAACAGGAGATGGGCAGTGGCATCTTCCTGATAACAACTCAAAATAAAAATATATTATCGTTCCTATTATAGTACATATGTTACTAGAAATCTATGAAATCCGTTATTATATAGAATTCCTAGGAATTGTAGATAATTCTTAAAATGAACTGGATGTGTGGAATATAGTATTATACACATTTCAGTTCAGAGCAGCCTGACTCGGATGGGTTAGGTCAGAAGGCTAAGGCAGGAGCTCCGCTACGCTGGTTTAGTCCTCGTGATATTTTTTTTTAAATAATTGTCCAGAAATAGATTTAGTCTGTCTGAACAATAAATCAGGTATATTTTGCCCAATTCATTGATCACCCGGGGTTATAATAAATTTTAATTTTATATTTCGTTGGTACCGTTTAGGAATTGTATACAATAACCAGAAAATACATTATCGAAATGGTAGTTATAAAATATTCTCTGATATATTTATTTTCCACATTTTCTAAATAGGCTCGACATTATATGGGTTGTGACGGAAATGCGTGGTCATATTTTAATACCGGTTCTGCCCATGGAAATGAAAACCTTTCGTCATAAAACTAGTCAATTCCCAAAAAAAATTGTACAAAAATATATAATCTATGTAGGCTAGGACTTAGTAGTAAACAGAGATATAGATATTTATAAATAAAACAATGTAACTCAACTACTTATAGCGATATCCTGGGAAAAATAAAATAAAGGTTACCTACTTAGAAAGGGAAAGCCTGCCCACAGAGAGCGAGATAGTAATACATAGGTTTAGCTTCAAGTAGGTATTCGGAGTGTGGTCTCCATCTTTATCTATAACTTCATGGCTTAGACGAGGACAATTATAATAGAGGACAATTACAATACTCTTTGGTTTAACTCTATGGGAGTGCCCTCTGATGCGTAAGCAGTCTGTGAAATTCTAATTCGAATCTTCACATAATATTACTTAGAGCTTTTTTTAAACTGGCTTTAAGGCTCTGGGTTCTAGCTCTTCTGAGCCTACTTAGAGCTTAGCTTTGATAATGTCAAAGAGTATAGTAACTGTCCGATAATGTCATCAAAACATCTTTTATTTAAAAACATTAATTTTTTTATTAAGATTTTGGCTTGGATGCTTGTTTTTTGAGCCATATCTTCATTTATCTCAGTATCAAGT